GAAATAAGTGTTACAATCTTTTTTAACGTGAAGCCCAAATTTTAATTAAATAAATCAAAAGAATACAGAAGAATGTATTGAGGTTTTTAAAGAATAGTACTCCCTTTAGTTATTTCCAGTTAGGTTTCTCTGTCTACTTTTCAGTATATAAAATTTTAATGGCGCCATCTACTTAATTCTATACGTAAAGTCATTTTATCGAACGAAAATTGGTTGATTCTCTCGATGGTACCTAAAGATTACGCTAGATGACACAAATACGCTATCGGCTAATTTATAGTGATATATGAGTTTAAAAATATCATTCATTGCAACATATCAATGATATGTTGCAAACCCGTAACATTCATTGCTATGCAGATGACAGCACTGGTGATGCTCTTTACACCGGCCGAGCCAATATTTCTCGGGAAAACGTCTCCAAGTGCCGGGACAAATTTGTGTCTGAAGTCGAGTCTTTGCTGAACAGAGTCTCGGATTGGGGGCGACTAAATCTAGTCCAGTTTAACCCCCAGAAGACACAAGTTTGCGCATTAACCGCTAAAAAGAACCCCTTTGTCGTATCTCCTCAGTTTCAAGGCACTCCCCTTGTTGCCTCAGCCAGTATCGGAATCCTCGGCGTTGACATATCGAGTGACGTGCAGTTTCGTGGTCACTTGGAAGAGAAGGCCAAATTGGCCTCTAAAAAGCTTGGCGTGCTCAGCAGAGCGGGACAGTATTTCATGCCGGCACACCGCCTGCGACTTTACAAGGCGCAGGTTCGGCCGCACATGGAATACTGTTCCCATCTCTGGGCTGGGGCTCCCCAGTACCAGCTCCTTCCACTTGACCGCATCCAGCGCAGAGCGGCTCGAATCGTCGACGACCGAGTGCTTTCCGATCGGCTCGATTCACTGGCACTGCGAAGAGATGTTGCATCTCTTTGCATTTTATTTCGCATATACCATGGAGAGTGCTCTGAGGAATTGTTCGGATTAATCCCAGCCGCCAAATTTCGTGAACGCACTACGCGGCAAACGTCCCGATACCATCCACACCATGTGTGCCATATGTGCTACGGAACGAGCACCATATGGTGCTCGTTCGCCACTGCAAACGAGCACCATATGTGCTCGTTTGCAGTGGCGAAGCTAGGGCTCCAAACTAGGGCAAGCCCAAGATATGGTTTTGTTGTTTTAAGCAGTTTAATAAAAATACACCAATCTTGAGCTGTCTCCACTCTTTAGTTTCATATTCAGTGCTGACAAGGACGTGTTTAACAAAGCACACAGAAAGCATACTACCGCTAGATAGATTGTATGACATAATATGCAATTGCACACCTTCGGTGGTTTTGAAAAGAGCCGTTTGGGTTTGCTTGAGATATTTACAAACAATACAATACATGAAAAAAGTACAAACAAACTATGTACAAAGTTAAAAAAAGGGACGCCTGGCAGATGTGAAACCTCGAAATTATATTTTGTTTAAGTTATATGCATAAAAGAACAGATTACGACAGGAATTAGATAGTTATAATGAGAAGATAAAGCTTTGCTAATTTTTTACCATAAAATAATGACTATTTATTATAATTATAATTATTCATTTTCAATTCATAATAAACCGTACAATTTTTTTTTATAGAAGAGGGGGCAAACGAGCATGTGGCTCACCTGATGTTAAGTGACTACCGCCGCCCATGATCAACCGCAACACCAGGGGAATTGCAGGTGCGTTGCCGGCCCTTTAGAAAGGAGTAAGCTCTTTTCTTGAAGGTCCCCAGGTCGTATCGGTCCGGAAAAATCACCGGTGGTAAATTATTCCACAGAGAGGTTGTACGCGGAAGAAAACTCCTTTTGAAACGTACAGTGGTGGACCGCCAAGCATCCAGATGGTGTGGATGGTATCGGGACGTTTGCCGTGTAGTGCGTTCACGAAATTTGGCGGCTGGGATTAATCCGAACAATTCCTCAGAGCACTCCCCGTGATAGATGCGATAAAATACGCAAAGAGATGCAACATCTCTTCGCAGCGCCAGTGAATCGAGCCGATCGGAAAGCACTCGGTCGTCGACGATTCGAGCCGCTCTGCGCTGGATGCGGTCAAGTGGAAGGAGCTGGTACTGGGGAGCCCCAGCCCAGAGATGGGAACAGTATTCCATGAGCGGCCGAACCTGCGCCTTGTAAAGTTGCAGGCGGTGTGCCGGCATGAAATACTGTCCCGCTCTGCTGAGCACGCCAAGCTTTTTAGAGGCCAATTTGGCCTTCCCTTCCAAGTGACCACGAAACTGCACGTCACTCGATATGTCGACGCCGAGGATCCCGATACTGGCTGAGGCAACAAAGGGAGTGCCTTGAAACTGAGGGGATACGACAAAGGGGTTCTTTTTAGCGGTTAACGCGCAAACTTGTGTCTTCTGGGGGTTAAACTGGACTAGATTTAGTCGCCCCCAATCCGAGACTCTGTCCAGCAGAGACTCGACTTCAGACACAAGTTTGTCCCGGCACTCAGAGACGTTTTCCCGAGAAATATTGGCTCGGCCGGTGTAAAGAGCATCACCAGTGCTGTCATCTGCATAGCAATGAATGCTACGGGTTTGCAACATATCATTGATATGCAGAAGAAACAGCGTTGGCGATAGCACGCAGCCCTGTGGAACACCAGCATTAATAAGCTTGCAATCGGAGCTTGCACCGTCTACAACGACCTTGATGCTCCGATCTGCAAGAAAACTGGTGATCCAATCGCACAATTTTTCGGGAAGCCCATAGGAAGGGAGCTTCGAAAGAAGCGCTTTGTGCCAAACCCGATCGAAAGCCTTCGCAATGTCCAAACTAACGGCCAATGCCTCCCCCTTGGACTCTACTGCCTCCGCCCATCTGTGAGTTAGGTAGACCAGAAGATCACCAGCTGACCTACCACGGCGAAAACCGTATTGGCGGTCACTAATCAGCTGGTGATACCTTGAGGTACCTCATGAGCTGGCAGTTTACAATGGACTCCATTGTTTTGGAGAACAAGGAGGTGATGGCGATAGGCCGGTAGTTGGACGGGTCTGAGCGGTCGCCTTTTTTAGGGATCGGGTGGACGAAAGCCGTCTTCCATGATTTTGGGACTACGCCTAGGGAGTAGGAGTACCGGAAAATGCGCGTTAAAACCGGTGCCAACTCTGGAGCACACGTCCTGAGCACAATTGGGGGGATTCCGTCAGGCCCACTCGACTTATGGATGTCCAGGGAGAGGAGTGCTTTGCGAACCGAGCGCTGAGTGAACTGCACTTCCGGCATGGAGCACTCACATCGCGGGATGGTCGGCGGCGTACTCCCCCCGTCATCGAGAGTCGAGTTAGACGCAAAGAAAGAGCCTAGAAGATCGGCTTTCTCCTTTGCGGTGTGGGCCAGTGAGTCGTCCTCCCTGTGCAGAGATGGAAGAGATGGCTGACAGAAATTCCCCTGGACAGTCTTGGCGAGAGACCAGAATGCACGGGTTCCAGAAGGAAGACGAACTAGTCTCTCGCCAATTCTGCCTATGTGCTTTGCCTTGGCAATGACTCTTTTGAAGGACCAAGAGGCGGAATTATACTTCTTTTTTAGGGCGCTGGTGTTTACATCCCTGGACGCTGATGCGTCAGCCCAGGCTCGGTAGCACTCCTGCTTATAGCATGATGCTATTTTACAGGAGCGACCAAACCATGGCTGAGATTTGCCTCCAATGGGCACCACAGAGGAAGGAATAAAAAGTTCCATACCCTGAAGTACCGCAACAGCGACAGAATCCGCAACAACGTTGGGATCGTCCGGCGAGAAGCAAACCCGCCCCAAAGGGTAGGATGAAAGAAAGACCGCATCCCATCCCAATCGGCTGACCTATAGTGCCAAACACGGCGGTAGCCTGCAGAATGCAACCGCGATTTCAGCGTGAGTGGCATCACACTCCGGACAAGACAATGGTCCGAGGAGCCTAAAGGGGCGTCGACGGAAATCTGATATCCGTCCGGGTGAGAGGTCAGCAGAAGGTCCAACAGGGAAGGTGCATGATCCTCCACATCTGGAATCCGCGTAGGCGAAGTAACCAGTTGTGTCAGACCATATGCCAAGGCAAAATCATGAAGAGATCTCCCCGCATGATCGGTTAAACGTGAACCGAGCCATTCGGCGTGATGGGCGTTAAAGTCGCCGAGGATCACGATCTCTGCGGAGGGGATCTGCTGTAGCAACGAATCTGCAGCCATTTGGACGTGGTCGAAGAGTCGGTCTGTTTCGGCATTACCGCTATGGGACCTATAGAGGCACCCGTAGACGCGCGGATGGTCGTCGCTGTCTACGCGTAGCCAAAGGATGGACAGGTCCGAACCTTCAAGTCTGCCGAGGCGTCGAGAACAGATGTCCTCTCTGACGTAAACGCAAACTCCAGCCCGAGGCACAAAGGAGTGTTCCAGTTTGTACCCCGGGCAGGAGAGATACGAGACATCAGCCGGAGAGGACACCTGCGTCTCTCTCAGAAAGAGCAGAGCCGGCCTCGCCGTCTCGAGATGGTAGTGGACGGCGTTTAGGTTAGAGTGAAGTCCCCTGATATTGCAGAAATTCACGGACAGAGTGGCAGGGGTCGCCTTGGTCTTGTTGCTCCGTTTGCCCCGAGCAGTTTTAGTCTTGAGCGGAATTTTGCCCCCCCCCCCCCAGAATACGCGGGGCAGCCTGAGCACTCACGCTCAGAAGTGGAGAAACATGGTCGTGGATGCTCAGCAAGGGATTCTCCAGAGGTGCTGGTACCCTCCTGGGGTAGTCTATCATTTAATTCCGCTACCATGTTGATGGGGGGGGGGATTTGGGCCTCCGGCCACCTGCACTCACCAGACGAAACGCGGAAGCAGAGCTTCCACTTCACGCCGGTATTCTGTTAGGTCGTGGTACCACCCCGGTTTGAGCCAAAACTTTACTTTACTTTATTTGTTGCAAGTATACTATAAAAACTAATCAAAGTCTACTATAAAAAATAAAAAAAGTATTTTATCTTTCCAGTGCTGGGCATTAAGCGTCTCAAACAAATCGAGACGATGTTCGTCTCTCGACGGCTCCAAGGTCCCAGCACGAGCGGCTTCAGTGTGGAGACACTGCTGGATATGCTGCTGGTGTTGTACGATGAGTGCTGCAACAGTAGTCTACGGAGGGAGAAGGCTGTAGCTGATTTCATACAATATGGTAAGTAGCTGCATGTGATAGCGGTTCCGTCAACCCCAGAGCCATGTATTAGCGTAGCCAATATTTGTTTCCATGAAGCTGGGCTGCTAGAGCTGTAGCTTTAACTGATGAGGGATATAGCCAGTAACACTTGGTGTACCGCGTACAACGATATGAGACAGTCATCCGGCTATGTCGGGAGACTGGTCGTAACACACCAAGACCCGGTCAAGGGCGACATCGATGCACGTCAGCGGCTGAGGTTCGAAACTGTCTGTTTGAAGTCAGAAGTGTCAGTGTAAGTGAAAGAACAGTAAAAAGACTGTTTTCTTAAAGAGATCTTATGGCATTTCGTCCAGCCTGCGCTGCAAAACTCTTTAGATCGCACAGAACAGCCAGGTTACGTTTCCGAAGAATGTTTTGTTCTCAGATGAAAGCAGAATTTAAGAGGTCCTGATGGACGCCAATCTCATTTTTGTTGAACCGTCGGGCTTGACCAGATCCACTTCCTGTGGGGCCGTTTCTGGAAAAAAAAGTTCATCATAAAGAGTCCCTCTTTCTCCATGAAGTCGGCCAGCTGCTGACCTCTTGGGTTCCGTTGCCCTATTCCAAATTTCCCTACCTTCAGCTCAACGAGGGCATTCTCTTGTGCATGGTTTTACGTTGAAGTCTCCCATCGACACCGTATACATTTCCTCCACCTCCTCATCGGGATGTGCTAAGGTTGTACGTAAACCTATATGATCTTCAGCGTTTGGTGATCCTGAGTATCATGTACGCAACCCTCGTTGACACACTCCCAATATGTACAACGTTGTTGACGAGAGACTTGTGGATGATAAATCCTACACCTCCTTGGGACAGATGGTCGCCCTACCGGTGATAGAACGAGTTGCCGGATTCGAGGATTACCGTGTCCTCCCCTCTCTTCGGAGCTCGGATAATCCTATATTATGCCAGCGCAACTTGTTTACCTCTTCTATCAGCTCCAGAATCTTCTCGTCAGTCCTCAGGCTGCGTGGTCGAGTCGTTTTAGGTGGCAAACGAACCTCAATCGGAGATTCTTATTACCCCCTGCCCCGCCGCTACCGTAGCCAGGAATAGCGGGGCCGCTTGTTTGTGTCATTGCTCATGGGGGGATGTTTTGCCATACTTGCCACGCTTGGCGAGCGAGTTGGCAACGGCAGTTTTTTCTTGTACAAATGTTGTTATCAAAAAGATGCTGCTGTCCATCTCCTGCCTGCCTCCCTCTGTCGCCTCTTACGACTCCCACGGGAAGATATGGGGTAGTGGATATTCTCAACCGCCATTACACAGAATTATTTATTTTTATAGAATTTATTTTAAAGTATTATTATATTATTATCTTTACTCGTAAAATTATTAATATTTAATATATAAGTTTCCTTGCTAATTCTTCCCAGGACTGAGGATTTGTCCATACTTCTGGTAACAGTAAAAACTACTGTACTATATTGTATTAAATGAAAAAATATTCTATTCTATTCAGATATGTCTCTGTGTTAGAGTTGATAAACTTAGAAATGAGGATATCCGAAGCAGAACCAGATTACTCTGGTATAGCCCAACATAGTCTGACATAGCCCAACGGATTAGAACGAAAGAAAGATTTATTGCAGCATGCCACAAACATCAGGATTGTTGATTTGTGGACACATCAATTATAAACATTATAACTAACAAAAACAAAAAATAGGAAACAAAACAACAATTTGAGGGATAAAACAATTTAAAAGTATGTATACTTATAGATTATAATTTAAAAAAAAATAATAGAAAGACAAAAAAAATTGTTTCTCATATTGTAGGAGTATGTTGTGGCGCGTCATACAAACGGACCTCACTCAGTTTATACTTAGTAAGCTGAATTTGCAATGGGCCGGCCATAGTGCTCGAAGAACCGACAACCGAGGGTAAAAAGGTACTCGAGTGGCAGCCTAGTACCGGTAGCCGTAGTGTACCGCCACTAGATGGAGTGACGACCTGGTAAGACATGCAGGAAGTCGATGGATGCGTTTGGCTCAGGACCGTGCTTTGTGGCATTCCTTGGGGGAGGCCTATGTTCAGCCATGGACTTGTGAAGGGCTGTAATGATGATGATGATGGATCAATAATACTCTCTACTTTTACTATTTTCTATAGTCTCCACTTACAACCCCTACATATGTAACAAAATAGGGTGACCCTTTTATGCTGCCACCACACTGCATTCACTTCTATTGCACAAATAAAATTAACCATAACCACTAACTACCAAATAATTTAAACCTAACTCAATTGGTAGTAACTAATCAAACATATTATTTCAGTTAAACCGGTTGCTTTGGCTCTCAAAAGGCTTCGACTCTCTCGTGATGACTTCGAGCTGGTTAAGGTGATCGGACGCGGGGCTTTTGGAGAGGTTTGCGTCGTACGAGCATCTTTCATGCAGGTGAATTGAATATGAAATGAGCCAATTTGTGAATAATATACAGAATAAAAGACAGATTCATATAGATCTCGCTTTGCATTCTACAGTTGTTAGGTGTTTGTATATTATGACCTTTAGATAGAATTTTGGTCAAGACGGCCAGTCGCAAAGAAGGTTAGCCATGAACGCTGGACAGAATTATTGTGCACAAGTGTGAACAATAAATACCTCAGGTGTATTCTTTATTGCCTTATTTTCATAGTCCTGTGGGATGGAAATCCGACATGACTGTTGAGAGATTGGGCACAGGATCAACGGTTTAACATTCTTTCCAAGGACGGGGGTGTAACACCGCAAACTTATTTTCTTAACTCTGGGCTGCTACTGTGAATTTCTTTACAGAAATATATATGTCTCAGCGCCTCTGTGGGTAGTCGGAATTATTGTAAACAACACGTGCACCGCACACCTGCGCATTGAACCTGTAGTGGTGCTCGGGTAACTACTTGTCTCGATTGTATAAAACGGATGGAGCGGCCGCCGTTAGGGCAGTCATAGCTCTGGCGTGGCACGGTTCACTTGTTGTGTTCCGCTCTAGCTCATCCTCAACTATTCGGATAATTAGTTCGTCAAAACGAATTAATTATTATTATCAGCTATTAAATTAGTCTCAGTACAATTTATAGTTGATTACCTGTGATCCATGTATTTTGTGATAAGTTAATTCTATTTAACTACCTTCCTACATATATATGGGGTAGAGCCATGCTGCAGTTATATTAGTAGTATAGTTGTAGCATGAATGGGTTGGTTCGACCGGGGAAGGACTATGTTCTCACAGAATACCAGCGTAAATTAGTAGCTTAATGCTGCTGTGTTTCGTATTAGTGTAGAGAACCGAGGACCCTTTTTACTTGAAACGAGGCATTTCGTAATCAAGGATAGATGTAGATGTCTATAGGCCACAGCAACCACTTCACCATCAGGGGGACTGTGTGCTCGTTTGTAACCCTATCCTATAAACAAAAATCCAATGACTGATTTTTTTGGACCGACGTGGGAATCGAACCCGGAACTTCATAATCAGCAGTCGTGCTTACGACCACGAGAACAGCGAAGCAGTCAATCCGCTAAAATATCAGCATAATACTGCAGTGTATTGTATGTTGAATGATGGAACCGCTTTTTACTAGTAAGAATTCTATCTTAGTCCTTATGGGTGAACCACGGAATGTAATTTTTTTATAATCTGTGGGGTGATCATATCGAAGTTTTGATTCTTAATCAAGGATAGATGTTGGTGTCTGTAGGCCATGTTATCCGCTTATCATCGGGTGAACTGTGTGCATGTTTATCACCCTTACTTTTAATTTAAAATTATAAGCAAAAGTAAGTTAAATAAGCTTTTAGTCTAGACATTACTTGTAGAATTATGCATTAACTCCATTGTTTATATTTGTTACTTAGTAATTTTTTCGTCACCTGACGTTATATTTATATTTATCCTCGATTAAAAATCAAAATGCAGATACGTTATCAGCCTTGAGATTGATGCATTAATGTAATTGTTTGCAGGGCTCAGAGGGCGGCAACATGGCGGCTGCGTCTGGCGGAACGATATCCACAACAACGGGCGAGAGGGTGTACGCAATGAAGATATTGAACAAATGGGAAATGCTCAAGGCAAGTTCCTTTTTATAGTTTTGAGTTCTGAGGCGGTGGTGATATAACGAGTCTCAATATAATGAATTCCTCGATTTAACGAATTTTTCGAAATCTAGAACTGTCTGTTAAAGCTAATCCAAAAGATATACTTCACATTATGAGTACATTTATCAAAAACCTCTTTATGACGATTTTTTAATCATGGCAGAATATAGATAGAAGGTATTATTTACCCAAAGACATTTAAGTAGTAGATATATTTAAATCACTTTCTATTTACCTCTATTTGACAAGTTTTTGAACTTAGAATCTTGATATAACGTATCTTATTAATTATTCCCACTTAATTCCACAATAAATCATGTCTTGACAGGTTCATACATGTTAAACCTTCTAGGACCTTGTTAAAACGAATCATAGTCTCACCTAACCTCTATATAACAAACATCATTATAACGAATAACTTGTTATAACGAATATTCTCTAATTTCCTTCAGTTTCGTTATACCGAGGTTGCACTGTATTAACAGAATTATGTTTTTCATAAATTTTGTGGTCAACGAAAATTGGCTAACTTGACTTCAGAAAGCGAGATGCTTAACTTCACCTAGCGCACATTTGTTTATAAAAACTTCATCAGACCTAGGGTGTCTATTTACTTAATCTTAGATAAAACTTAGTTTGGCGTGTGATATAAAGAAATCCGGCAATACGTGAGCAGTTTGACCTACTTAGGCTCCATATCAGAAAAAATAGCTAATACTCTTAGAAAAAACGGCGTTAACGTGGCATTCAAAACAAACAGTTCTCTTAGGAATATTTGTAATAATAAAGATAAGTTAAATATTATTTAGAAATCGGGTGTTTATAAACTTGTTTGTGACGAATGCCACGCCGTTTACGTGGGTCAGACTGGTCGCAATTTTGGGACGCGCAATAAAGAGCATTTGGCCGCGTACAGAAATTGCAATCCTGATAAATCCCATTTTGCTAAACATCTCTTGGACACTGTACACAACCTAGCCAGCGACCATTCCTTTGAAGTCTTACATACTTGTAATAAGGGGCTGCGGCTGTGTGTGCTGGAACAGTTGGAGATTTTAAAAAATAGTAATGGTAACAATGCACTGCTGAATGAACGAACAAATGTTTCTAATTCACCTTTGTTAAACATCTTTAAGGCTAATCTTTAATAATAATTTTAAAATTAATAATAATATATAACTATAAGTAATAATATCAATAAAGACAATAATAATAATGATATTTAAAAATAATAATAATAATAATGATAATTAGTCACAGGTTTGTTATCGCACGGCACGGTTGCTTGCTACTTTGGTGGGGAGCGGTGGTGTCGGCGTGTATAAATAACAGCTGTTTTGGCTCGCCGCTCACTTAGCGGTCAGCCGTCGTAGAGTCAACATAACCTGAGGATGCCTCGTGTAGAGGCGAAACACATGTCGTATTATCGTCGATGGTGTGTCTTGCCTGAAATAGTGATGTTGGGAATAGTGGTGACGGAGTTAGTGCATGCAGTTGAGGGAGGGCGGGAGGTGCTCCTCAATCCAGGTAAGACACATCATTGTATTTAGTTGGCGGAAGGTTGCAAAGTAATTAATATTTTTATTTTAAGTTTATGATAATTTAAACCGATAGCGCGATGCGAAGACACGATGTATATCGTATGGACAGCGTGTACACGAACTCACTGGGTGCGTTTGGCAGAAAAAAGTGAGCTTACAAGCGCCTGCTAGCGCTTTTTTCTGCCAAACGCACACTGTCTATCTGCTGTTGACTGACGTGCAGACAGGGCCCGAACTCTCGTGCTGGTCGCGAAAGGGGTAAGACTTAGCGGAACTCTAATTTGTTAATAAGTGTAGAGGCGCTGTCGTCGCGCCACAAGCTAAATACACCGAAGCTTAAATCACGCTATCAACATTCCGAATCATAGACAGTATATATAGAACTTCTCCGAACTATCACACGGAGTGTCGGCCGCTCCCCAAGTAGAACACCTTGCCTGGCGGGAGATCTCCCCTTTTCCTTCTACGGCCACAGTGGTGACTAACCGACGTGATCTGAACACGCAACCAACAACCTTCGGAAACTTCAAGCTTCATCATCGTTATAGAAAACCCCACCCATTCGCTCTCGAGCAGATATCGTCTGCAGTCTTCATATCCTGCAAGCCATCTAGCTTCACAAGGTTCATCGCAGCACTGGAATAATAATGCTTCCTGTTCCTTCAAGTTACACTCTGCGCTATAGTGTTCAGCACGGTTCCGAGCCTTACTGCTCGCCTCTGCTTCACGGCACTCTCGCAGATTACTTGCCTTCTTCTCGACTCACCGCAGACTACAAGGCAATCTCCTGGCACTTGCACATTCGTCGACAACGAGGCTGCACTATCGACCTCCGGTCTGAGCAGGGGGATGATGTAGCGGCGCTGTCGTCGCGCCACAAGCTAAATACACCGAAGCTTAAATCACGCTATCAACATTCCGAATCATAGACAGTATATATAGAACTTCTCCGAACTATCACATGGAGTGTTGGCCGCTCCCCGGGCAGAACACCTTGCCCGGCGGGAGATCTCCCCTTTTCCAACTTCGGCCACAATAAGATTGACGGTAAAATGCGAATTCATAAACAATAGAATAATATAAATATGGCGGTAACAATATGCTTTACTTTTTATGAATATGAATAGACCTTTGTTCCTGTAAAAGTCTAATTTAGTCTATATAAGTGTTTATTAAAATGGTTTTTTTTCACAGAGGGCCGAAACGGCGTGCTTTCAAGAGGAGCGAGACGTTTTAGTGTTTGGAGACAGAAGGTGGATAACAAACTTACACTATGCCTTTCAGGATGAACATAATTTGGTGAGTCGGTTCAGTTGTACTGTTATATATGTCTTCTTATTGTTTTTGAATAGAAAGTGTTTGGTATTTTAAGAACCTCTTACTCTATTACGTCGGTTTGAAAACTTCATGTCCACTATTTTATATTTAGTTTTGCTTTTGTAATGATTTATTAAGTATGCAATCTGTGATCACATTCTAGACAGCCCCCAATATAATTACAATAAATTCGACGGACAAATCCTATCGAAAGAACATCAACTCATACCAAGGTGATTAATGTGGTTATTGAAAGGAAAAAACATTCAATATAGGTTTTTTTTTTCAAAATTAGGGTGACAAATGAGCACACAGTCCACAGATTAAGTGGATACTGTGGCCCATAGACATATACATTTATCCTCGGTAAAGGATCAAAATGCAGATGCGTTGTTACCCCTGAGGCCTAAAATGGAATGCCCATTTCCAGTAAAAAGGATCTCCGGTTTTCTACTCACCGTATGAAACACGGCAAACATTAAGCAGCTATTTTATACTGGTATTCTGTGAGAATGTGGTCCTATCCTAGTCGAGCCGACTCATTTGTGCTACAACCATAATATGGCTGCAGCGTGGCTTGTTTGCTGAGTACTATCACCTGCTTACGATCCTATAATGTAATAAAATAAGTTCATTAGATTCCAGTTTCACAATGACACTTTATATTTCAATGTAGTGGATTGAAAGTCATTTTTTTAATTTAATTTAAGCTTGTTTAAGGCATATCCATCAAAATCTACTCCGGTTTGCAATAACGAGGCCTTTTCAGAGAAGAACTGACAAGAAACTCCGAGGTTATAAATGCCATGTTACAATTCCATTTACAACTTACCAATAAAGTAAATACAATGTCAATTTTAACCATATCATTGCCATTTCTACATAGCGTTGTCCTCAATATATTGATCTATTTTGTAATAGGCCTTTATCTATTAAAAGGCCACGATAATATGATAGGAATTTACCTTGAAAGAGTTTAGGCTGAACAAGGGAGAAATATATATTTAATTTGTTAATGCTTTAATTTCTTCAGTACCTTGTGATGGACTACTATTGCGGCGGTGACCTGCTGACGCTGTTGTCCAAGTTTGAGGACCGGCTGCCAGAGGACATGGCCAAGTTCTACATCGCTGAGATGGTGCTTGCCATACAGAGTGTGCACGAGTTGCGATATGTACACAGGTATATAATGTATATGTTTATAGTATAATGTATAAAATGCCTCGTTGGTCTAGTGGTTGTAGTAGTGCGATTATTGATCATGATGTCCTAGGTTCGAATCCCGGGTCGGGCAAAAAAACGTTTATTGAGTTTTTCCATCAAGATATTCTCAGTAGCTGCTCAGTCAGGAAGTTGGCGGTGTCTCACCCCCATGCCTCGGAAAGCAACGTAAAGTCGTTGGTCCTGCGCCTGATCTCTCTCCGGTCGTGTCGGTTTACCGTCCCATCGAATTGAGACAGTGAGGGAATAGAGTGCACCTGTGCTTGTGCATACACTTGGGCACTACAATCCTGTTCTGCGCTGATGGCTAGTCTCCGTTGAGGCTGACCGCCGTGACCTGAATTCGGTCTGGAGGACATTATTATATAGTATTGCTTTTTAGGGTTGTCCGTAGTAAACTAGGAACCCTTATAGTTTCGCCATGTCTGTCTGTCCGTCTGTCCGTCCTCTCTTAATCTCTGTGACCGTTAGCACTAGAAAGCTGAAATTTGGTACAAATATGTGTATCAATCACGCCGACAAAGTGGTAAAATAAAAATTGCAAAAAATGTTTTATTAGGTTAGCCCTCCTATATGTAAAGTGGGAAGTGATTTTTTTTTAATTGCAACCCTAACGTGTGATATATTGTTGGAAAGGTATTTAAAAATGAATAGGGGTTTACTAAAATCATTTTTTGATAATGTCAATAATTTCGGAAATAATCGCTCCAAAATTAAAAAACAATGTGTCCCCCCCCTCTCTAACTTTTGAACCATAAGTTTAGAAAATATGAAAAATATCTGAAAAGTAGAACTTTATAAAGACTTTCTAAAAAAATCATTTTGAACTTGGATGGAAACAACAGTACCCACTACCGGGAGCAGTTGCAGGAGCGCGGAGCGCTGCTGGAGCGCAAAGATAATGGATACCCACCTTTAAACTCATAAGTGGCAACACTTATTGTGACGGACGGGAAACTACGGAACCCTACACTGAGCGTGGCCCGACACGCTCTTGGCCGGTTTTTTTATAAAATGGTAGTGTTAAATAAACTTACAGACACCTGATGGTAAGTGACTACCATCAGGTTATCTGTAAATGTATGTGTGTATATCTGTGTGTGTGTAGTGTTGTATAGTAGCGGTGTAAGAATGTCCGCTACCCCATGTCGTCCCGTGGATGTCGAAAGTCAATACTATAAATCAATAGCACGCTACAGACTATAAACTATAAATTTCTAGCGCGCTATTGAATACGCTATGTTATAGCGCGCTATTTATAAAAAGTGTGTAGGAGGCCGGCAAGCGCGTTAAGTTTAGCAGCACGCTATATCTCTGAGCACGGTACATTACATGTCGTTCTTTGGATAGACCGCGTGCTATATAAGAACATTGTTTCGTAATAAGTCGCATTTTAAATTAAAATAAAATAAAGTGGTAAAGAAAAATTAAAGAACGCTCTTTCATACTTTTCAGGCTTACGACTTTTTATAATCCTAAAAATATTTTTAAGGACTGTACTTTTTAAAACAAAATAAAATTAATCATTTTTTATTATAATTGATGTAAACGTTATTTTAACCTTAATATAAATTATAAATCAAAGGTGTATTTAAAAGTTTATTGATTGTATATACAAAAATCATCTATTTACAAACACTATTATATACACTTTTGTATCTATATTTCATTTACATTTAAAAACATTAGGTAGGCTTCTTTTTTAGCGGACAACTGTGTCCTTCGATCACTTATAAATATACAGTATACACTAACTAAACAACGTCTAACACATAATTAGTTCGCGCGCGATGAATAGCGTGCTGCAAGATTAAATTTGCGTCACACGTCTACTCCCAACAGCGCTGCTGCTAGAACTAATTGCCGCTTGAATATGAAGCGCCAAAGCGTCATAGCGTCATAGCGCCATGGCGACTACTTACATAGCACGCGCTATGCGTTATGAAGAGATAGCGCGCTATAATATGGCGCTATGCGCTATATTAACCACCATTACAAAATAGGGGATGGGCATCATTCCTAATAATGACTGAAAATAAAAAAAACTGCGTTTGCCATCCCGCTTACCAAGCGTGGCGACTGTAGCAAACAATCCCCCCTATGTAGCAATCTGTGGAGGAGTTCTATGTTCAGCAGTGGACTTTAATGGACTTGTAACTGTAAGTGACTACTGCAGTTCGTGAACAGCTGCACTTTACGACAGTAGTACAAACGTGAGCACCTTTGAAGCTGCCGAGTAAGATAGTAGTTCTTTTCTGACGTCAAATAGCAGTATGTACACTGCTGTGTTCAGGTCTAGAGTGTACAGAGAGCCAGTGGAGGACAGTATAATAACAGGCTATCAGTCATTCCATCTTAATCGTCAACCATGACAACACATGCAGCTTTCTTTGTTTGAAGTCGTCCACTTACCACCAGGAGGATTGAAGTTTGGTTACCGCTTCAGTTTTATAAAAAATAAATTTAACTGTTTAAAAATCAAATGATAACTCAAATATGTGTTGTGATTTCTTATATTTACGCGAACACTACACATTGAAATAATACTAGTTTTTACGGAATTTATCGCGTATATTTAACTTTTTAAATACCCGACGTTTCGAACGCTTTACAGCACTCATGGTCACGGGCGGGACTGAGATGTTCAACGTCCAGATGTCATAGTTAACCGCGGTTACCATAGATTAAAATTTAACTTTTGTTCCGATCTACACAGTATGAACTTATGGTATCTTGAAGTCTTGCAGTTTTGTGCTTGGGTTGGGATTTAATTTTATTTATTATAGGATCCCAAGCAGATGGTAGCACCCAGCCATCTTCTCTATTGAAATTAGGATGTTTTTTGATTTCAATAGCCTCGCGAATCATACTTGGAAAGAATCGGTGTTCTTTAGCGAGGATTTGTAGTCTATCAAATCTGATGTAGCGTAGCTGTAAAGCGTTCGAAACGTCGGGTATTTATTTCAATATGTGTTGGTTTATTTTTACTTTGCAGAGACATAAAGCCAGACAACGTATTACTGGATGCAAGCGGACATATTAGACTGGCAGATTTCGGCTCTTGCTTGCGGCTAGGTGATGACGGCAAGGTAAATATTTATACAATCATTTTATTTCTACGTTTTTATCATCTTTTTCAAGAAATGTATAGAAGCAAGCATATTCCTGAAAAATAAAAGGTTTTCATTATGATAGTGACTATACACCTGTAATTTGTATCAACTTACAATAAGTTTCAATAACATGCATTAGCAACTGACTTTTTCTCTGCTCAACATATTATGATAATCGAATTCAACTAATTTTGTCACCGGAATGTTTTTTTATTGCATTACAATTTTATTACAAGTTGATGGATGTTATTCCTTTGGGCTTACATAGGGTATTTTTTTAGAGATAGCCAAATTTTAAACCTAAGTTTAAATTTATAGACAATGATATACCGTTATTGCAGTTTTTGAAAATACGAGTAAATAAGGCTTCTACATTTATTTGAAATTATTCCAAACTGATTGTGATTTATGGGCAACAACGTTTTTGCCTACTGTCGACCTTTACGAATATGCGTGCGCAAGGAAATCAGTTAAAATTAAATAATATTCTGAATGATGAAATAAAATCATATAATATTCTATTTATCCGTGAGTAGAGCCACGCTGCAGCTATATTATATTTTTAGATTGCTCGACCGGGGAAGCACCACGCCCTCGTAGAATAACCCAGCGTAAAATAGAAGTTTAATACTGCTGTGTGTCGTAGGGTAAGTGCAGAGATCCGCAGAGCCTTTTTTACTCGAAACGAGGCTTTCCATCTTAGTCCTCAGGCGTGACAACGCATCTGCATTTTGATTCTTAATCGAGGATAAATGTGGATGTGTATAGGCCACAGCATCAGGTGGACTACGTGCTCGTTTGTCACCCTTATTCTCTAAAAAAAAAAAAATCTGAACCTCTGCAAATTTGACCGATTAATACCAAATAACCCTGTGTTCAATACTGGACTGATGGGCTATATTGATGATGATCATTGTGATGAAGAATGAAATAATTCTTGAACATAGAAACCTAGAGATCAGTACTGCACGTCTTTACTTGCTTGTATTCATAACACTAATATTTTGTTTTATTTAAGAGGGTATAAATCTCATATATAATACACAATATGTTCATATATTATTTGTTTGTTTTAGGTACAAAGTAATGTTGCTGTTGGAACTCCTGATTATATATCTCCAGAGATTTTAAGGGTAAGCCTAAAGAAAGAAGAAAATTTTTACTTTTCTTAAATTTTTATTTTGCATAAGTTCTTAATAGGGTAGGTATAGCCCATGATTGCTGCCTCGTTGGTCTAGTGGTTGTAGTAGTGCGACTGCTGATCATGAGGTCCTGGGTTCGAATCCCGGGTCGGGCCAAAAAATCAATTATTGAGTTTTTCCGTCAAAGAAATTCTCGGTAGCCGCCCGGAGTCAGGAAGTTGGCGGTGTCTCACTCCCGTGCCTCGGAAAGCACGTAAAGCCGTTGGTCCTGCGCCTGATCTCTCTCCGGTCGTGTCGGTTTACCGTCCCATCGGATTATGACAGTGAGGGAATAGAGTGCACTTGTGCTTGTGCATACACTTGGGCACTACAATCCTTTCCTGAGCTGATGATGGCTAGTCTCCGTTGAGGCTGATCGCCGTGACCTAAATTCGGTCTGGGGGACATTATTATTATTATTGCTTATGACAGCTATACAGGTGTTGAACTTTTTTATGGAATCTACATAAAATCAAACACTATTTCACTCATTAACCACCAAACTCAGGTGTTGGACTAAAATCGACCCTGACATAAACATGGTCCTCATTGGGCCTATTCCTTCATCAAAACAAAACAGTTCTACTGTTGGACACATTACTTAAAATGTTAAAGTTGGTTAAAGTAACCGCATATATACGTCCAACTGCTGAGCACAGGCCTCCTTTTGTTTCTGGGAGGGTTTTAGGGCAAGGAAGTGTCCGCCGCGCTGCCCCAATGCGTGTTGTCGAACTTCACATGTCTTCAAAATTTTTTTTTTATTTCTCTGACGTGTAGGTTTCTTCACGATGTTTTCCTTCACCGCCGAGCACGTGGTAAATCAGCACTTAAAATTTCGGTTAACAATTTCATTGGTGCCGGCGGGGATCGAACCAGAGTTGCTCGCTTACTGTGAAATTTACAGCGAGCCCTTAGCCCCTGCACCACGGCTCCTGGTTTAAAAATATAATATCAGTTTTTGTCTACGGCTATTCGCCTGCTTGGGAACAAAAAACACGTCGTGCTTATTTTTGCTTAACATATTTTTCGTATTATCCAGTTCTTACTTTGTAAGTTATTTTTATCCAAATTAGTATATAAACGTGATTGTGAAACTTAACACTTGTATTTTCTGTTTAAGATCGTACATTTTTAATAGAATAGAAATTATATTTATTTTCTCATCACAAACGGGTACAGTATCATTGATGACAAACATGTTATACTATAAACGTATTGAACCCTAGTTTGTGAGAGACTGGTGCCTAATAAAGGTATTAAACAATACCTGTTCTATAGGTCACCAGGTCCCTCCTCACGCATTGTACATCTTAAATTACACGTAAAGAATATTGAATTAGTATTAATCAAACAATTTAAGTGTAATTTTGTGGTAGTCATGCTGCATCTGTGATATTATGATTGTAGCACGAATGGGTCAGCTCGACCGGAGAAGGAACATGCTCTCACAGAATACCAGCGTATATAGCAGCTTAATGCTGCTGTGTTTCGTATGGTGAGTGTAGAGAACCAGAGACCCTTTCTTACTAGTCATGCGACATTCTAGTTTAGTTATCAGGATTGACAATACATCTGCACTTTTTAATCTAGGATATAGTCTAGTCTAGGGGTCACAGCCTGTAGTTACTATCAGGTAACAACCATCAGGTGCATTCTTTCATTGTGAAGTTATAAGTTAACTTACATATTTATTCTTACAGGCCATGGAAGACGGGCAAGGACGTTATGGGCCAGAATGTGATTGGTGGTCGCTAGGTGAGTGTGTAAATACATAAGTTATACATATTATATAATTAGTACCCGGATAATTTGTTCAATTTTTTTTTTGGGAAATTACATTTAGATACAAATTACATACTGATAAATAATGTTTTTTGATCTTATTGACATAATAGAAAAAAACTGAACAGGTTATTTGAATAAAAATCATGAGTACAATTAGTTTAATTAAAATTTTCGTATTTTAAAAAAAAACTAAAATAAGGGCTCGAAATAATAGATTTTCTCACAAAAGAAGGGAACTTGACAAAAAAAGGAAAAAAAATCGGCCCGAAGACAGGACGCGAACCAAGGCATAACGATTTCACGACCGCTCGATATCCACTTGAGCTATTACGATCATTAACAACAGTGTCAAAATTTACCTTTAAGTCAAAATTTACCTAAAAGACATTTTCTAAAAATAAATACTAGCTAGATCTATTTATTGCCCCTGAAACTCCCTGGACAGTAAATTTTATGAAAATCGTTGGAGCCGTTTCCGAGATTCCGATTATATATATATACAAGAATTGCTCGTTTAAAGGTATAGGATATACTCTCACGGCTGTCACTCGGAGGAATCGGCATACCTTTATTTAGCAATTCTGACACCTTTTTTTGTTTTTTGCACATCTATGCGTTCATGCTCGTCATTTATGTGTAATTTCAATTTATTGCTTATTTGGTCGATAAACTTTGTCATAAAGGTGCCACTTTTTCGTCTGTGTAAATGTTGTCAATAAAAATTAAGAGATTGCTTGTTTATTACTGATTTCTACCATGATGATAACACTGTGTTGTGGCGGTGTAAGAATGTCCACTACTGCATATCGTTAGTGTGCATAGAATACTATAAATACACAATAGAATGGCTGTCAACCTTATTTTGTACGACGATAGACGTCGTATTTATCAGTTAATCACTACTACAAACCCAATTCGCTGTGTTGACAGACGGATTTTAATACATATTTATTTGTAAATGGTGTGCGATTCTGCATTTTCTAAATAATTTGCGTGCGAAATTTGGAAACGATTGTAACGTCAAAACACATCTCCTGTTGATATTTATACGTGTGAATTGACGTGTTAGTGGCATTTCAGTGGCTACACGGGCTCCGCCTACTCCCCGTTCTATTATGTATGTATTCTATGGTTCTGTGGGTATCTTAAAAGGCGTTAAAGAAACTAAAACAGTAGATGGGCAACATCTTCCTGATAACAAATAAACATAATAAATAACTGCGGTTCAAATAATAAAAAGCGTGTCAACTATGGCAAAATGCCCCTTATGAGGCCGTGTATGGCCTGCGTTCAGCAGTGAAATTTTGTAGGCTGTAAGGCTTAGTACGCACTGCGTTTAAACGTGAGCTGTTTAGGAATAGCTGAAAACGCAAAACCGCATACCATCACGCACTGGGGCTGGAGTTTTGCTTAATTTTATTTCAGTACCACCATGGATTTCGAGCAAGTAGCATGTAGCTTTGATATTTAAATTAAAAAATGAAAACGCAAACAACGGCGCTGCCATAAGTACTGAGTACATCCACTAACAGATCAAAGACATCTGAAAGGATACTTTTGCAAAATGTACAACGACGTGCGACAACATCCCGATAAGTTTTATTAATTACCACATATCGATTGGTTTTTTTGATAAATTATTACAAGCTGTGGGCCAGTATATACAACACTGCATTTCGTTCGAAGATATCATCTGAAGAGTTGAATTAAAACCGAACGCGGTTAACCGCTGTGCGTGCGCCGCCATATTATTACTATGGGACATATAGAAATCACGCGTTTACAAACCGCAATGGAAATGTAGCAAGTTACGTTTTTAAAATCGGTCACTGAAAAAAGTTGCTGATGCATGGGCTTGTATAGAAACCTATGTGTTACATTTATTTGCGGTTTCAGATGTGCAGTTAAACGCGTGCGTGCTAAGTCTAATGAAACAATGGATATTTTGCGTTAAGACATTGATTAAGGAGGTGTGCACAATTTGAATATAAACATTTTGAATAAAACATTGTAGAATATTTGCGTCAACACAGCGAGGCAGACAAATTGAAACCAAAAAACTTCTATTAACCTGCCTGCCAACCGTGGCAGCTATGAGAAAATTCTTACTATTGTTACGAGCTTGGGGTTTGTGACGATAAAAACTGCCGATCGAATTACCAAAATTGACACTTTAATTACCGAACACCAATTAAAACTTAAAAGACACTAATAATTAATCACACTGATTCACTTTATTTCGCTCCGAAGGTTCGCTCGTATCGCCAATTCAATACTGCCCCGATGGCGGTCTTCAACGCCTTTATATACGCCTTTTTCACCGATACATCCAGAATATTCCAGCAAATACCGGCCCCCGATCGACCAGGTGCAGAAAGTTCGAGTGTGGAGCTTTCCAGAAAGCTTAGTTCTTCTATTCGATACTAGATGGCGCTGTTGGTTGATAGTTCAGTCATGGCTTTTTCTAGAAAGCTCTTCTCGCTCTGTTCCCCGACACTAGATGGCGCTAGTGCCAGCTACCAGACATCAACTTAGGCGCGCAACACTATGAAGCAATCTATCGAATAGGCCTATGTTCAGCAGTGGACTTTTATAGGTTACAATTAAATTAAACGGATAATATCTGGTAACGGCCCCCTGGCAAAAGAAGTTCCATCATGGCGCTATAATTTGTCTTATTATAGCTCTGTCATTCCTGAGTCTATCATAACAAGGCTTTGTACTAATTTAATGTTTTTCTTCAATTAAATTTATTAAATGTGGTTTAACTTTAATGTGACTTAGACAACATCTGGAGCTGAATTAAAATTAATCGAATTATTCTGAAAAATGCGGATAAGTCGATGAATAGTAATTTTCTAAATAAAACTCTCTATTTATTACATCAGAAATTCTATGTAACTAACTACTAAACTTCGTTTACAGGTGTTTGTATGTACGAAATGTTATTTGGCGAGACGCCATTTTATGCCGAATCCTTGGTAGAAACATACGGGAAGATCATGAACCATGCCCGTTGTTTCCACTGCCCCCCACCGGACGAACTAGCTGCTCAGGTATGGCTTTTGATTTACAGCTAACATTTTTTTCATTCAATTAACATTCTTTGTGCCCCCCATGGGCAAAATTCCTTTTTATGAAAACTTTATTGATACTGTGAACTCTATTAAATATACGACGAACACTACTCGGTTTTCTAGCACAACTTATTGAAGTTTTCAATGTGTGATGTAAACATTGAAAACGTGGTAGGAGCCACGCTGCGGCTATATTATGATTTTAGCACGAATGAGTTGGCTCGACCGGGGAAGGATCTCGCTCTCCCAGAATACCAGCGTAAAAAAGTAGCTTCATACTGTTGTGTTTCGTATAGTGAGTATAGTGAGCCGGAGACCCTTTTTTAAACGAAACGCGGTATTCCATCTTAGTCCTCAGGGGTGACAACGCGCCTGCGTTTTGATTCTTAATCGAGAATAAATGTAGATATCTATGGGCTACAGTATTCACTTACCATCAGGTGAACTGTGTGCTCCTTTGTCACCTTTATTCTATAAAAAAATGTCATAAATGGGTTACTGGGCTTGTTGGTCTTGTGTGATTACATAGACGTTGGGCTAGCCACCTATATTACTTTTTTTTAACAATTTTTCATTTAGAATCATATATTTTTTTTGCTAAACATGGTCCGAGTAGCTCGCTGCTACCCCCTCGGCGTTTGAAGGCATAATATAAAATAATAATAATAAAATAAAAATAGCAACTTGATGCTGCTGTGTTTCTTGGGTGTAGAGAAACGGAGACCCATTTTAATGAAAGTGAAGCATTCCATTATAGTCCTCAAGGGTGACAACGCATCCGCATTTTGATTCTTAATCTTAGGATAAGTGTAGATATCTATGCTGTGGCAATCCACTTACCACTTTTTGTGCTCGTTTGTCACTCATATTTTTTAGAAAAAACTGTGAAGGACATCAATGCTCTTTCGTGAACTTTTAGCCCAGTTTAAACTGCTTGCACTATCAAGCAACCGTCAGTATGCGGAGGAATGGATTTAACCAGTGTTCTACTAAATCAGACTGTGTACTAAGAAATCAGACATTATTGTTAACCTGACTACCTGCGCGAAGTCACTCGCAGCAAATTTCATAGTCGCCGTTAAATTCCAATCTAGTTATGCTAAGGTACTGGTAATAGTTCTGAATTATGACTGAATTTAAAAAAAATTGGAAGCAGTAAAGTAAAATATACGACATTGCACATTTTTTTGGGATTTTTTTTGAAATTATTGCACTTAATTCTGAAGAATGTGTTTAAATTCCAGGTATCAGAAGAAGCAATAGATTTGATACGTCGATTAATTTGCTCTTCAGAGAACAGGCTGGGGAAGAATGGGTTGCAAGATTTTAAGGTATATATTATATTTATTTACCTATTCCATTATTATTATTATCCATAATTTGAGGCATTTATTCCAAATAATAAAATTTGTCGTTGTCGTTATACGAGAGTCGCAGACATCATCACAATTTGGACCTGAGCCATTTTGTGGAATCTCAACAAGCCTAGCCCGATTGACCCTTAAAACTATCACAATAAATCACTTAAGATCTGGTCTGACACACAAGGCTTAAACAATCTAAAACCTTAATCTGGGCTCCTTTGATCGTAAATTCGCTTCAAAAGCCCTGGGATTAAGCACAAATAAATTGCGCATTCTGGCAGGAGCCCTAATTGGACACTGTTGTCTTAAAAAGCACATGTCTATCCTGGGACTAAACAACTCGAGGATGTGCCGGTTCTACTCCCTAATGGACTGTACATAGTAAATGATTGCAGACCCTTAATGCGCAGTGAAATTGCTCACTTCTTTTACTTCCAACTCTTTTTAATTGAAGGCATAGGGCTTAGCAGCGATCACAATAGATCTATTAGATCGCAGTGACTGGTCTCTTTCCCTGGACCTGCATAGCTGCACATAATAAAGAAAGTCGCCGACATTATGAGCTATGCATAAAAAGAATATAAACGCATATAAAAGATGACCACTGTTTAGCAGAGGTCACTAAGATTGGAGACAGGCATATTTTTAAGTAGCTTTTTTGAGTGTGTTCAAACCAAACATCATATGTAGTTAGATAGGAATATCATAGAGGCTCTTACGTCGCCCTTACATGGTTTATCAGTTTATCACATCTTTAATAACTTTTACTTACAATTTAATTTTTTTAAATACATATGTAATGTTCCCTTTTTAAACTCACATTATTTTAAATACACAGGGAATACTTTGGGAAAGATATGTAAATAAGCTTGGGAAAAATATATCTTAGTGTTGACACTGAACGGGTTGTTATGATCGAAGTTTATGCCATGTGACATTTAATTCGTGTATACTGGTAAAATGTTTAAACGTTGTTGTATACTGTTAAACGTAAGGTACTAATTAGGACACTTTAAATAATGAAAGGGAAATATTTGTAGAAAGATTGTGAAACGCTGATGCTCTGGGAAGACAGTGTACAAATTTCGTGTCTAAAAAAAGCAATGACCAAAATAGTCCCTGCCCTTACACCAGATTTGATAAACCATAAATCGTTGCAAAAGTACACCTATTTCTACCAAGGATAATTCGAAAACATAAAATTTCATTAGAGAAGGTGACTGTGCTACCATCCTGCTTGGGATCCTATAATTAATAAAGTAAATCCAAGCATGTCACTGTAAGGCAACAAGCTGCTACATTATAGCTACATTCTGCATAGATATGACTCCAGTTAACTGTGATATCATCAAGACATCAAAAATTTTCCAAAGCAACCTGAAAAGTCGGATATTAAAAATTAAGTCTAATTAAATTTCCTTCACTGCATATTTCGTGCACCGAATACGATAAAATCTGTAAAATTGAATTCAAAGATATTAATTGCTGATTCTAGAGCCACCCATGGTTCACCGGCCTGGACTGGGACAACCTACGCGAGATGCAGGCGCCGTTTGTTCCAGATGTGTCCAGTCCCACCGACACCTCCAACTTCGACGTCGATGACACAGACGTACGGTGGGTATTATTCTTAAATTTTTATTGTTTTTTTTTAAAGTTATATTAATAACCATCTATCTTCATCGTCAAATCTTAAATGGTGATATAACAATATCCTCCTGATCTCTTTAGACCATGGCAATGACTTTTGTTTATCAACTTTGAATTAAATTGGACTGGAGACACATGATTATTTTGTAGTGAGTTTTGAGTTATAATTCTAGCTAGTGATTTGTTGAAAAACCCAAAATGTTGATTTTTGAATTTGGTTATGTTGTGATTGTATTAATTCCCCTCAAAACACCCCCCCACATTTCTTTTGAGCCACTCGATTTCAACAATTCACTTTTCAACAAGGCCTCACCCAAGGAATGCCACTTAGCACAGTCCTGAGCCACCTGCTCCATCGACTTGTATGATTTACCAGGTCGTAACTCCCTCTAGTTCGAGGTCTACTACGTCTCTACATTTTACTTACTGGTACAAATAACTCGAAAACCCAGCCCTAATAAATCTTAATTTCTAACTCACAAACTTCCTTGAGACACACGGGTATGTTAAGATGATGGCGTGCCTTTTTGCTTATGAGTATTTTTCTGGTTCCAATGTATTATAGTTTTGATAGAATCAGGCGTTACTTTGCGGAAATCCATTACAATAAAGATATTAATTAATTCGCAACTATCCGCATAAAAATACAATTATGTGTCTCAACTGGATTGAAGAGCACCTCCCGCCCTCAATTGCGTGGACTAATCCCGTCACCACTAGTCCCAGCACCATTACTCCCGGCACCACTACTCCCAACACCACTATTCCAGGAAAGACAGACGCATACTATACATCACCTGAAGATGCCTCGTGTAGAGGCGAAACACGTGTCTTATTGTCGTCGATGGTGTGTCTTACCTGAAATAGTGGCATTAATTATGGCGCACAACTATATAATTATATTATTAATATATAATTTATGATAAGTTAATTTTTTTGACTTTGTTAAAGTTGTTCAGTTAGCTTCGGTGAGTTCTATGCTCGGAGTTTGTTCAAGTGATATAATCTGTAGTGAAGGTATGAACAGTAGAATCAGAGTAACCAACAAGCCCAATAGGTTCGTAAGCTGGTGTGGTAACATACCAACCATATTTATCATTCATCATTATTAAAGTCTATCAAAGTCTTTTCCTGAATGTGGGCAGTGGCGAAGCTTCCATTAAAGCCGAAAAGCCGGGCTTGCCTTATTAAAACTGAATCAATCAATAATATCAACTAATAAAATAACTCCTAAACTGTTTCAAATTATTTAAATTTTCCCGCGCACTCCACTGTTCGACACATGTCGACCGATGACCTCGTATTGCCTTAGCGATACGTTTATACAAAGGTACTCTGTGGCGATACTGCTGCTGTCATAAAGTGAGTTTTAATAGAGCGATTAGTTGTCTCCCTCACTCGCGTGGGCTTTTTACGGAGCTTTCGAGAAGACGATCGCTCTCTTTCTAACCTATGGCAAAATATTCTATAATGAAATATAACTACGAAATGTTTATATAGCAATTAATATTGAGCCAACAAGCCTGGCTTTGCCATGAAGTTGTTTAGGAGTGCGTTAGCGACTAGCGAAGTGGTTGCGGGCCCCTCGTATGCAAGTTCACTTCACATTTCAATGTTTATGTTTTTTTTTTGTTGTGTTTGTTAAAAATTTATGCTTTTTCGAAGATTTTCAGTGAAAATGGGAAGATAATAGTGTTCCTTGTGATGAATATAAGTGTGTTGAAGTGCTAATCGGCGAAGAAAACGTAAAAATCTTTAAAAATGAAATTTAATATTCAATAAACATTGCTTCATACTTTAAATATAGGTACAGGACTCTTTAGTATTAAAGTTTAATTAAGTTAGGCGTATTTAAAGGTTTAATAACTCAATATTAATATTACCATACGAATTAAAAATATCAATTTGAACAGCAGCATAAAGTATGAGACCTAGGTTTAATTTTAGAGGAAATAAGTGTATCGGCTAATTTATAGTGATATATCACGAGTTTATGCAAAATATTCATTTTGTACGGTTTATTATGAATTGAAAATTAATAATTATAATTATAATAAATAGTCATTATTTTATGGTAAAAATTAGCAAAGCCTTATCTTCTCATTATAACTATCTAATTCCTGTCGTAATCTGTTCTATTATGCATATAACTTAAACAAAATATAATTTCGAGGTTTCACATCTGCCAGGCGTCCCTTTTTTAACTTTGTGTACATAGTTTTTTGTACTTTGTACATGTATTGTATTGTTTGTAAATATCTCAAGCAAACCCAAACGGCTCTTTTCAAAACCACCGATGGTGTGCATATTATGTCATACAATCTATCTAGCGGTAGTATGCTTTCTGTGTGCTTTGTTAAACACGTCCTTGTCAGCACTGAATATGAAACTAAAGAGTGGAGACAGCTCAAGATTGGTGTATTTTTATTAAACTTTTATACGTGGTAGAGCCATGCTGTAGTTATATTAGATTAGTTGTAGCACGAATGGGTCGGCTCGACCGGGGAAGGACCACGCTCTCACAGAATACCAGCGTGAAATAGTAGCTTAATGCTGCTGTATTTCGTATGGTGAGTGTAGAGAACCAGAGACCCTTTTTACTGGAAACGAGGCATTCCATCTTAGTCCTCACCTCCTAGATGACATCTGATAAGGATAGTCCTAGATGTCTATGGGCCACAGCAACCACTTACCATCAGGTGGACTGTGTGCTCGTTTGTCACACTATCCTATAAAAAAAATAAACTGCTAAAAACAACAAAACCATATCTTGGGCTTGCCCTAGTTTGGAGCCCTAGCTTCGCCACTGAATGTGGAGGCCTCTTCAAAGAATGCCTCATAAGGGGAAAACTTGCCATAGTAGTGACGCTTGGCTGGCTGGGTTGGCAACTGAAGGTTTTTATTTTTTAGGAAGGTTTTTTTTTATTAGGAAGGCACTGCTGCTTATCTCCTGGTTTGTTTTCTGGCACTCCTTAAAACACCCCTGGGAAGTTGACCGATGATATTATTGTGATACCAATCACATTAAAACACGAAAAATTGGGGTATCGCTGTGTCGGCCACAAAATGGCGACGCTCCTTCGTTCACCGCGCATTATGTGTCGGTCGCTATTCTACACAAGGAGATAAAATAAAATTTTGGATGTTTGTGATAGATATGTAGCTACGACAGATACAGAAACTTTTTTATTCAATGTAGATTATAAACAATACTTATTGAAAGTTACTTTTTTCATTTACCACTGGTTCGCAAAAAAAACCTGTCCTGGGAAGAACCAGCAAGAAACCCAGCGGAAATTTTTCAAATAATAGCACACAATAATTAACAACACAGACAAATTAGAAATAGCTTGGTAGCGATCAACCTTCCCAGGGGTTATCATCCATAAATTCCTTAATATTATAATAACCCTTTTTATACAAACTTAATTTAATAAAATTTTTGAACTTTGCGTGTGACAAATTTTGTATATTTTCTGGGATTTTGTTGTAAAAGCGTAACTGGTACTACTAGCTTGTGTCTGTTCTTAGTATTTACAGAATGAATATCACTTATTTCTTTTTGTGTCGCCAAACTATCCTCCGATTGTGTAATTATTAGTTTTTTAATTATTTGTAAACTGTTTATTTTTATTTTTAGTCTTTATTAGGACGACGCTACTGACCATATCCTGATTTTTTTTTCCACTGTAGCCTTTAACAACACCCACAGGGCGATATAACCCATATCCCATATAGTGAATGTTCTTACACCGCCGCTACATTACATTTATCTTGCATGTCCTCATAAATAAACATTGGATGTTGTGCGACAGATTGTCTGAAGCTGTGCCTCCTCCGCCGCCGTCAGCTGCTTTCTCTGGACGCCACCTGCCCTTCGTGGGCTTCACGTTCACCGCCGGCTCGCGCCTGTCCGACCTGGGCGCGCCCGCGCCGCTAAGCCCCGCCAAGAATGCTCCCAGCCAGGTACACGCATACACTACATATGCACATGCACAGAGTAATGCCGCCACAGCCCTTCGTGGGGTTCACTTTCACCGTCGGCTCGCGCCTGTCCGACCTGGGCGCGCCCGCACCGCTAAGCCCCGCCAAGAATGCTCCCAGCCAGGTACACGCACACACTACATATGCACATGCACAGAGTAATGCCGCCACAGCCCTTCGTGCGCTTCACGTTCACCGTCGGCTCGCGACTGTCCGACCTGGGCGCGCCCGCGCCGCTAAGCCCCGCCAAAAATGCTTCCAACCAGGTACACGCACACACTACATATGCACTTGCACAGAGTAATGCCGTCATTGCCCTTCGTGGGGTTCAGGTTCACTGGCTGGAAGCACACGCTCACATTACCACTATCATACTAAACACGTACAGAGTAGACATGTGCCATACCGGACGTGGCACTGCACCACTGTCACACTAAACATATACAGAGTAATTACCTGCTAGAGCAGACTTGTGAGCGCGTAGTCACATACCGTACGTGGCAGGGTAAACACGCTGCACCACTGCCACACTGTACAAAGAACTTTTTACTAGAAACGAGGCATTCAATCTTAGTCCTCAGGGGGTCATTTGCTTTTTGATTCTTAATTGAGAATAAATGTAGATGTCTATGGGCAAGTGAGCAATTTCATCAAGTGGACTCTGTTCTTGTTTGTCATCTTTATTAAATTTACACAATACTTCATCTATTTTTATTTGTTTCATCACCCCATTTCTTCGCGAGGGTCTCGTAAGTGGCGAGCAATAACGTACTGCCACGTAACTACTCTCCTGCGTATTTACCTTGCCACATACAGTATGGTATTGTGAGAACACGCTCTAACGCACACTTCTGTGGCTAAAATAATTTCAATCAACAATGTATTAGGTGCATGTGTGTTTGTCCAGCAATGGACCTTTGTAGGGTCTTGAAGTAAGAAAAAAGAAAGGCGTGTGCGCGAGTGCGTGTCAAGAAATTTAACATGATTTCGGTATCACTTGGAACATGGGCAGTGCTCCGTCTCTTTCTTTTTTGGTCTGAGTCTTTAGTAAAGTATTAATATATAAAAGGTGATCGATACGAATACATTTACACATTGAATCGAAGCCAACTACGATTTACACCAGTTACACAATCCTACCGTTGGCTCTGGTATAGCCTAGTAATTGAAGAAGACTTTTTTTATAAGCATAATGGTGGCAAAAGAGCATACAGTCCACGTAATGTTAAGTAGATAGTGTGGCTCATAAACATCTACATTCATCCTTAATGAAGAATCAAAATACAAATGTGTTGACACTTCTGATGACTAAGATGGAAAGCTTCGTTTCCAATAAAAAATGTTTCCGGTTCTCTACACTCACTATACGAAACACAGCAGCATGATATTCTGTGAGAGCATGGTCCTACCCCAGTCAAGCCGACCCGTTCGTACTATAACCATAATATAGCTGCGGCATGGCTTGTATTTTTTATCATTTTAATTGTATCGATAACAGTTAAACAATATCTCCTTTGTTTTCATTTAATTTTAAATATTTTACTTTTGTTACCTCCACAGGCACCATCAAACGCCGGTGATCGTGCTGCGTTAAAAGCACTAGAACGCGAAAACGCTTTGCTGGCGCAAACAATAGCGGACCTTAGAGCCGGTGGCTCTGGCTTGGAGAATGGCAGCGGTAAGTTACTCATTGGTAGCAACATTTTTATTCTATAATGCGGTAGAACTAGGATACAGCTAATTCTACTTGAGGTAAATTTTTAAGCCTAGTCAGTGCTTTACCTGTAATCACCATTTACTATCTATTAGATGGAATAGTATTAAAGCAAAGATCCTGAATTTTTTTACAGAAAAACTCAATAACTGATTTTGGCCACAGGATTAGAACCCGGGAGCCCATAATCAGAAGTCGCGCTTACGACCACTTGACTAACAATGTCAACCGTCAAATAAGGCCAACGAGACGTAACGTAGAATAGTAACCTAATTTCGGGGTAAATCACAATAAAATGCCTACAAATTTACAACTTATAAATTGAGCCTGAAGCCCGAAGTCACATTAATGAAATCGATTTTATTTGTCAATCAAAGTTATTATATTGCTGTCTGTCATAAATCTATGTAATTTTTGGCTTTTTTGGCTTTTAGATTGATATTTCCCCTAACACACTTATATGCAACTGAACAAATATTTCGTATTTCAGAAGAATTGATTCAGCTGAAAGAAGAAATGGCGGCTCTGTCAAAAAGGAATTGCGACTTGGAAACTCAAGTGAGGTGCTACGAGCAACTTAGCACCACCGTCACCTCACAAGTAAAGAAAATATTCAAAGCGATTAGCCCTTCAATCCCCATAAAAATCCCATGCAGTCGCTTGCGCCTGGCAGCACTTTAAACCATTAAAACTTATATTTAGAGACTACTTTTCTATGAAGAAGTTTGGCATTATAAAATCTATACATAATTCTCTATCTTGTGGTCTAAACAAAAGTCAGGTTTTACTTCATTACAAAAAGATCTTATTGTATTTTGATAACAAAAAAAAAACATAGAAAGCGGATGTCGACAGCGTAAACACAATCATTTCTAGATATTACTCAAAATTATTTATGTAAAAAGATAAATTATATTCACACAAAAACTTTTATAACAATTTTATATAATAAAACACTAGATAAATCCAATAATCAACACAACAACATCCAAATGAAAATGGCGTACGTAATGAACGTAGAATATAAATTAATATCCATAGACTAACTGTTTTTTTATTCCACTAGAGGATAGAAAATTTCATATTTATTCTATAATGCCAAACTCCTTCATAGAAAAGTCTCTAAATAGAAGTTTTTATGGGTTAAAGTGTTGTGTGTGGGTGCGGTCATATTTGACCGCTTGAATTTTGACGGAATATCGAAGCGGTCAAATTTGGCCGCTTGGTGTTTGAGAGGTTAGTATTATGGTATTTATAGTCTTAGTGGTAACTTTTTATACTTGTTACGGCCCTGAGTTACCCCGACAAAGGTCGATTGAATTAGGGCCCATCGTAATCCAAACTCGACGAGTAACAGAGGGTCGGGCCCAAAATGGCCTATGGATAATTAATTTATAACGGCTAGATACGCAAACACAAAACTTACCGAATTCCAGAAATAGGGTCTACTACAAGGTGGCGTCAAGTAAATGGTAGTGTGTGTGTAATGTAGGAAAGTGTATAATGTAACCTGACGTCACTGATATAATCAAATAGCAGAACCGCATGCGCTGCCCAGCTTCTCTTGTGCAATCAATCCATAGGGCGTTAGCTGATATCGGAACTAAAGTCCAATGTCACTTAGCACAAATATAATCGGAGGGAACGCGATCTCCTACGGATCACAAAACTTAGCGTCCCACGCGAAAGCAAAATTTCTTCTTACAATGTTAACTACACGAGCCACTCGTCGATGCAAATTAATAGCAATCTAAGTTAATTCAATAATTCAAAAATCAAAAAGCCTCGTTGTCACGTATATTAACGACAAAATACGACACCATAGAGGCCGTCTTTTTCGACGCCGTAATCATTATCAAAACTCGCGACCTCTAAGCGACCCGGGCGTCGCGCAAATCGAATGTTCTAGTCTAATCTCGCGACCCCCACCGGCGCGGCTTCAGCGCTCAAAGGATTCCTGCCGACTGCCAGGCGCTCTCGCCGGCGCAAATGAATACTCCCCCGCGCAAGCCGGCCCCTCGCCCGGGACCAGCGCCCCGCAAGCTGCAGCCCGCCACAATTGGGCGTAAACAATACTGTTAGTCAAACGGACAAACTGTCCATCTAGTGTGACTCATTGACACCTGCAACGAAGTGCAAACAAAGAAGCCTGCAGGATGTCACATGTGACAAGTAACGCTCTTCGCACACGAGTCGTAGTGCCTGCAGTACACTGCTCGCAAAGTTAAACGAAGTTGGGCAAAGACGAGTGTGTACAGGGACACTTCGCTTCACTTCGAGCATCCTCGCCTCGCCTCGCCTCGGGTGACTTCTGATGGTTGTCGGTTTTTTCCGCCCGAGTCAAAGGACCGAAGTTTCGAGCACGCAGTGACCCTGTACATTACTCTGCTTACTTCTATAAAGTTAACTTTGTGATGTTTAATTTTAAAACGTTTTAATTCGATCCAAATTGCTTAAGCCAAAAATGAATTGGTCACCAGAGCAAATACTAGTGTTTTTGGAGTTGCTCCAGGGGGAAACGGTAATAACCTAAACTCTTAACTAGGTATTCCAGTAATTTTGATTTAAATAATCTAGTATTTAACATTTTAATATTATTTGGTAACTTGTTATATAAACGTACACACATAGATAAACAGCTTTTATTATATTTACTTATTCTAGGATTGTCACTTAATATGAGTTTGTATGGGTTTCGCCGCATCCGAGGGTTTACATTATCCGCCGTGTTAAATAAATATTTATGCTTCCATACAAACATGCATATTTCATAAATATAAAGACATGGTAGGGGTAATAAGTCAAGTTTTTTAAACACCAGTTGACATGATTCAGTTGGTTTAAGCCCACATATTGCTCGAATACATTTTTTTGTGCGCGAAATGCTCTATTTTGATACGTGCTATTACCCTAGATTCCAAGTCCATAGCGCAGTATTGACTCGACGTGTGCATGGTAGAACAGAACAGCCGTTTTTATGTTGGTAACGTTTTTTAAATGTTTAAGGGCGTATGCAAATTTATTTAATCTCGTAGATACATCGTTTACTTGCAATTTCCAGTTAAAATTTTCATCTATATTTATTCCTAGAAATTTTGTATTTGTTACTGCTTTTATTTTTGGTATGTTGAGATTAATATTATATTTTTTATTATTACATTTATTGAATTGTATATATACAGATTTGTCAAGATTTATTTTTAAATTGTTTATGTCAAGCCATTCAATTAATTTATCTATAGTGTTATTTATGTCAGTCTCGTGGTCATTAATAGTATTATCTTTTTTATTAGAAGTCACAATTATTGAAATATCATCCGCGAATAATATGCATTTATGATTTGTTATATTAACAATGTCATTTATATATAATATAAATAAAATAGGACCAAGCACACTTCCTTGTGGAACGCCATACCTATTGAGTCTATATTCAGACGAGTACGGTATGAAATCCTTATTTTCATCTATTTTCATAATTGTAACACATTGCTGTCTGTTACTGAGGTATGAAGATATCCATTGAAGAGTGGGCCCCTCTAATCCCAAGCTTTTCAAGTTTTTGTAGCAGGAGGTCGTGTGAAACTAGGTCGAAAGCTTTAGACAGGTCAAAGAAAAGCCCTGTAGTTAAGTGATTATTATTTAAATTTGATAGGATTATTTTTAGGAGAGAAAAAACGGCCAACGTAGTAGATTTGTCTTTTTGAAATCCGTATTGTTCGTTAATTATAATATTAAATTTGTTGCAGAATTCGATTATTCTTTTGTACATGCACTTTTCATAAATTTTGGACATAATAGGTATCAATGTTATTGGGCGATAATTATTGACGATATGTTTCTCTCCTTTTTTATATAGTGGTTTGACAATGGATAACTTTAATGGATCTGGAAAAGTTCCACACGAAAATGATAGGTTTATTAAATGGGTCAAGATTCCTATTATTTCGTCGATACAATTTTTTAGAATTTTTGTACTTATGTCATCATAGCCTGCAGAACTAGTATTTTTAAAGACATTATCTTTTTTCTAACTTCGTTTTCCGACATGGGTTTGAGAAACATAGTGTTGATGTTATGCGTGTTGTTTAGCAATTTTTTTGTTTTTGTGTGTGTTGTTTCGTGCGTCGAATTAATAAAGTAATTATTAAAGGCAGAGGCTATTTCTATTGGGTCCGTCAAAACATTGTTATTAATTATAATTTTTTCTATGTCATTTTTGTCATGTGAGCTACCTATTTCCTTTTTAATAATGTTCCACGTGGCCTTACACTTGTTGTCATTTTTATTTATAAACTTTATGTTGGCAATTTTTTTTGAATTATGAATACATTTCTGTAGTAGTTTGGAATATGTCATATATTTAGCTTTATTAACAGCATTTGTTTTCCTGTAATACTTATATCTTAAGAATCGTTTGGTTTTAGAACTTGCTTTGATCCCTTTACTTATCCAATTTTGTTTTTTATTATTATTTATATCTACTTTAATTCGTACTTTTGGAAAGCAAAGATTATAAAATAGGCACAACAAATCATGAAAACTACTGAAAGCTACGCTAGCATCATTTGCCGCATACGCTTCTGACCAATACATTTTTTGTAAACATTCTCTAAATTTCCTAATATTATCTTTGTTATAATCTCTTTTATAAATATAATATATCGCATGCTTTTGTATATCGCGTTTTAAAGGAATCCTTAATAATTGTGCTGTGTCGTGTTCAGATAGATGAAGTGGTAGTACTGCTGCAGTTGCATTCGGAATATTACTTAAAATATGATCGATGCAAGATGACTTTCGTGTGGGTACATCAATGTGTATTTTTAAATTGTAATTATAGGATAAATCTTGTAGTTCTTTAGTGATATTGTCTCTTTTTAATGTGTTTATGTTAAAATCACCAGCCAATACTATTTGTGCTCTAGATCGGTTTTTCATAGTTAAATCATGTAAGAGATTATTTAGTGTGCATAGAAACTGGGTCGGATCTGATTGGGGTGTTCTGTAGAGACAGACAGTTATTAATTTAATACACGTTAGTTCAATGCCACAGACTTCAAACGTATTCTGCGACGCATATTTTTTTGTTAATGACAGTTCATTAAAAAGCAATCCTTTTTTAACTAGGATACAGGTTCCCCCTCTTTGCTTTTCTCTGCAGAAATTGGCGGCCATGATGTAACCGGTTAATCTTAAAAACTTCTCACAACCTTTTTTTAAAAAAGTTTCCGAAAGACAAATAACATCCGGGTCACTGTTACTCTCCTGTAACTCCTGTATAGTTATTTCTATTAAATCTTGTTTTAACAAAGCACTCGCGATATTTTGATGTAAAATGATAAAATTATATGCAGCAGGAATTTGTTTTTTACGGTCGAAAAAATGTATTATTCTTTTTTATTACGGGAAAATAATAAGGTATCGTTCCTCTATTAAAACGTTCAACTGGTTTTGCGGAGATGTCAGTTTGTTTTTTAAAATAAAAAGGGATTGTTCCTTTTTTTGGGTTCATTTAAGATTTTACACATTTTAAAACTTGACTTATTGCTTGCTATACGTTTACTGATTTCGCTGGGGTTTAAATATTTGTTTGCATAATCATTACAGTCAATAACATAATTAATTAATTTACAAATTTCCGAACGATTAGAGTGTTTACAATTCAAAAAAATGACAATTTTTATATTTCTTACATATATTTCTAATAAAATAATTTAATTTATTAACATTTATATTTATATTTTCAATAATATTTAGCACAATTATCGTAGTATTACTAAAGGTGTCTAGTATACATTGTAGCTGCGATAAAACTAGCTGTATATTGTAATCATTTTCCCCTACACAAATTATAAGTTTATCGTCTGACTTTAGCGTCATGTTTTGACAGTTTTTTATTATTTCATAGCTTGGTGCATATGGTTTCGTCTGACCAGTAACTTCATATTTTTCGTATTGAGTCATATGTCTCGAATGTGATATAGCTGCAGCCAGGCCGACGCATTGTTGAGAACCGATGATGTGAATTTTTTTTATAGGTTCGGGTTTATGTTGTACTGTGATGGGATATGAGATCTTGTTCGGTTTTTCTATCGAGGTTTTAAAGTATTTTTTTTGTTCCAGTTTTGTTATTTTTTCCGTAAGACCTGTGATCTCTTTCTCTGCATCCTGAAGTTTTTTTTTTGCAAGTCGCTGATTTTTTGTTGCAGGCATATTATGATGGTGTTAGTGTTGGGGTTAAGGTGTGACTTGACTATCGGCGAAGATGGTACAGAAGATGCGTTATTAATTTAAAAAATGCGTTATTAATTAAAGAAATTAATGAACAGTTAATTATTGATTAAAACTACTTTTACGGATATTATCGCGTTTATTTTACGTTTAATTACTTTTATTTTTAATTCCCGACGTTTCGGGCGCTTTCCAGCACCCATGGTCACGGGGGAACAGTTAATTATTTACGCTTGCTTTTTTACGCCAGTACGTCTATCGTAATCACAATAAACATCTCCTAGGATTCGCTGTAGCACTGCTTCGTGTGCGGACTTTTTGAACATGTACGCATTCTCGTATTGCTCTCGTCCTATGCGCGTATTACAATACGCTTACGATAAGACGCCGTGTGCGAATAGGCTAAGGTGGATTTCCTTGTGACTGCGAGATCTTAGGTCAATATTTTGAGACACTGGTTTGATCTCAGATCTGTCTCATTTGAATTTGAACTCTAATTTCATTGAGTAATCTCCATCGTGACATATTCAGAGTTAAAAACAAATTATAATTTCCAAGTTTGATGTGGAGCCATAAAAATCGTAATTTGACATTTTTGAACAATGTTTATATTTTCACGTTTTTGAACGAGCTATATTTTTGATTTTATTACGTCGAAAAAGACAAGTTAAAGAAAATATACTGAAAAATAAATGAAACAGAAGAATTCAAAAGTTCTCCCGCAGTAGGGGCTTGTTAAATCGGAGGCGTAGCTTTTTTACCTTCAGAAAGAGCTTTGTAAAGGCCAATTTCGAATAAAATATTTTGACTTTGAACTTAGAACACGGCTTTTTTTAAAATTTAAAGTGATGTAATCGCGTCCTGTTTTTACTTTTTTTTTTGGAAAAGAAAATTTGAGGGAGTTGATAAAATAATAATATCCTTCAGTGAAATAAAAAGAGACTTAAAACATTGCATAATTAATTGCCCAGCATTTGTCTTTCCGTTGTGTTTGTCTTTAATGCGAGAGTAAACAGCCTTTTGTCTAGCTCAGTCAGTGCGTTGTACCATCTTCGGTCACATCACCGCTTATCATCTGGTGATTTAATTAGGATATTAGTCAGGCACTATACTTATGTTAAAGTATAGCGTACGTGGTAGAGCCATCTGCAAGTTATATAGTTGCACGAGCACGAATGGGTCGGCTCAACCGGGGAAGGACCACGTTCTCACAGAATACCATCGTGAAATAGTAGCTTAATGCTGCTGTATTTCGTATGGTGAGTGTAGAGAACCGCAGACGATTTTTACTGGAAACGAGGCATTCTTTCTTAGTCCTCACGGGTGACAACGCATCTGCATTTTTATTCGTATCCAGAATAGATGTAGATGTCTATGGGCCACAGCAACCACTTACCATCAGGTGGACTGTGTGCTCGTTTATCACCCTATCCTATAAAAAAAACTCGCTGCCCGCGGTGCAATAAAAATAGGAAAACGGGACGCCGCCTGTTGCGTTCTCTGTCGCACTTATGGCATGCCTATTAGTATAGCTTAGAATATTTTAATAAGACACACTTCATACTGGGTAGCAATTTATGCAATTTGTGTTTAAATTGTAATGCACTTACTTTTTAATATCTACAAGGACCCTTCGAGCACAACGCAAGATATTCCAACGCGACTTCGGGAGATGGAGTTGCTTGTTGCATCGCTGAACTTGGAGAAGGAGGAACTGGTCAAAGATAAGACGGATGCTTTAGAGAAGTTGAGGTTACAGGTATGTTGTTATTGAAGCTTGCTATATACCATTTTATACTACACTCATATACAATATGTAACGTAATTAACGCACACCCTCAGACACCCCAATTAGTATATTATGTTATAATCATAATACATACACTGAATTTTTAGTTAGACATTTTTATGCACTGATTATTTATCAAATTAGTTATACTAATTCCGGAAGAAAGTTGTGGTCACAATACAAATCCACGAACGCAAAGACTTAAACGTGCTTGAAATAAAGTTCATTTTTCTTTATTTTTATTGAATGACAGAATTAGTAATAATACAAATAAAACTGCACTCTTAAAAGTCTTATTGCCTTAAGTTACGGTCCATTTCAGTTTGTTTTGACTGTACAGATTTAGTGTGACTGTAATTTACGTAGTTTTAATTATTTTTGGGTGTAAATATTGATATTATATATATTTATACTCTATAACTCGAATTTCAAAAAGGAGACTCCGTAAGTCGTAGTTAGTAAACAATAATGACGTCTTACTTGGAATTCACCGAAATAATAGCAGTAAAATCCGGGTTCTTAATCGTAAAGTAGCTGCCGTGTCACCTGCCGAGCTCGGACGACGCTCGTGACGCGGCAGCTATGCGTATCTTAAAATTTTCAATTATAACGCCCGGTAGTCAAACATGAAACGACCTATAACTCAAAAAGTATGTTTTGAAAAACTTTTGTTTGAATTTTTTTTTGCTTCCCTTTGTTTCGGAGTTCTGCATAGAACATAACGTAAATTTTGTTTATGGACAACATGTAGGCTACTTTGATGACAACTACTCCAATCAAAATTTGGATAACGTGGAAGGGAATTCTGTTATTTTTTTTAGGTTTATGTTTCGTTGGGAGACCTTTTAGTATGGAAAAACTAAGTAATTACGCATTACTGATTGTTATAAATGATTAATAAAGGTCATTTATAATAATTGTGCATGTACTTTAAAGGTTATGCTTTATATTTTTGTATGCAATCGCAAGTTTACTTTTACCCCAGTGCTACCATCTGATGGTGTAGATGTCAACATCATTTGGGGTAAATGGAAATATCGTGTTAATAGAAAACAATGTAATTAATTGTGTATTCTTGGTGATGGGCATCTAGACAGTAGTTTTTAGGTACACAGCACGCCTAGAAATTATAAGAAAAAGAAATAAGGTCCGTCATAATCTTTAAAAGGTCTTCAAAGAGCTGTCGAAGAAGTAAAAGAAATGCTAGCCAATACTAGGGGATTCCCTGAGCTGTCATATTTCACAGAATAAAAGGCTGACAAGTAAGCCTACATATAATTGGTATTGGTGAATCAAAAGCTCTACTAAGAAAATTCTCATATAAAGGCAATAATATATTAAACACCGTAACTATTATTTCGTACGGAAGTAGTATGATTAATAAAGATAAAATAAAATCCCCAAGTAAGATAGCCTTTGAAGAAATATTTGGTGTATATACAGGTCCACATGAATTTCGAAAGATGCAGTGCCGGGACTAAAGCCTAACTCTTTTGAAAAAGTTATGACTATAGTATTTGCGTTATAGAATGGTGCGAGTGACAGCTTACACTCAAGCGTGTTTAGAGATGGAGCAATGTTAAATCGATTTCAAAAAGGCGATTATTAATACACAAAGCAATGCAATAATTATCGATTAAGTATTGATAAAAAATTAAAACCGGAACATATACTTCTTTATAAATAAATTACAATGCATGTAAATTACAAACTACTATTTATCTACTATTTTCATTGATACAAATATATTTTCTGTTTTTACGGGAATTAGAAACAACTTGTTTGGTTTTCTTTTTCTATACTGTTTACAGTTACCCTGCCTGAGCTTAATAGTGCATTTCAATTGTTTCAGGATAAAGAATTAAAAGACGCGTTGTCGCAATGCAAACTGGCTATGACGGAATACAATGAAGTATCAGAAAGGTTATCGGAGCTAAGGCAACAGAAGCAGAAGTTGTCGCGGCAGGTTAGTTCGGTTTAAATTGACAACAATTGGATATTTAACACTCTAGTCCAGGGATGGTGAACCAATGGCACGCGACACAATATTTTGGACACGCAACCGATCACAAAGGTCACTATGAAGTATTATATTTCGAACGAAAGCGAGTGATCCTAGTTACATCATGGTCCACCATTGCTGATGACGCATAGTTCGTTTCACCATCATCATCGTCATTACAGCTCCTCAAACTCAAAACTCTTTATTTATTTTCTGTAGTAAAGTCGATGTAAAAAAGTCGATAGTATTTAGTACTATTATTTTCGCAATAATCACGAAGTCAAAATAATTTAATGGCACGTCTATGACCTCATTAAACATTTCTTTAGAAAAATGGCACGTTGATACATAAAGGTTCGCCACCCCTGCTCTAGTACATGAGGGCAATTCCGCTCACCAGATGTCTCTAGTTGGCATTGAGTTGAATTCATTCGTTTCAAAATTTCGATAGCAAGTTGTGTTTTAATTTAACCGGTTCCTAGAGTATTTAAATAAATAAAACAATGCTACAGTGGTGTTCTCTTTAATTTCTTACACATTTTTTAATTTTTTAACTCCTAGGTATATCAAGTTTTTGGTTTATTCATTTCTAATTAATATATAGCACATTAATATAAAACACCACTAATTTTATAGAAAGAAATATTATTCATACATATTTGTATCTATTCTGTCTCATTAACTGTATTAATAAATAAATAAATTTAATTAAAAAAAGAAACATTCACGTACGTTTTACGTGGTAGAGGTACGATGCCGCTGTAATTAGACGACGATTACGAATGGGTCGACTCAATCGTGGAAGCGCCACGCTGTCACAGAATACCAGTGTAAAATAACACCTTGAAGCTGCTGTGTTTCTTATGGTGAGTGTAGAGAACCGGAGACTCTTTTTACTGGAAACGAGGCATTCCATCTTAGTGCTCACTGGTGACAACGCATCTTTTTTTTACAGGATAGGGTTACAAACGAGCACACAGTCCACCTGATGGTAAGTGGTTGCTGCAGCCCATAGACATCTACATCTATCCTCGATTAAAAATCAAATTGCAGATGCGTTGTCACCCGTGAGGACCGTTCCATTCCATTGCATTGCTTCCATTGCAGCGTATTGTTGTTGCAGGACAAATAGGTCAGCCCCACAATGGCAGGACCACGCTCGCACAGAATACAAGAATTCAATGAAGAATTTCATTTAAACATTACTTAAAAAAGTTATCAACAAATTGTTGACTACTTTCTTATTTTAAACCATTTTGTTTAGCGTATGAATTTAAACCGGTGGCATTATTTTCAGAACTTTACTTCTTCTAGTACTATATAGGTATATTAAAGTCACTTGTAATATCTGTAGGTCCGTGACAAAGAAGAGGAGTTGGAAGTGGCGATGCAGAAGATCGACGCACTGCGCCAGGACATCCGGCGCGCGGACAAGGGCCGCCGCGAACTCGAGGCTCGGCTCGACACCGCCGTCGCCGAGGCCACCAAGGTGATTAACTACAAGTTTTTTATTCATAATTAATTGATAATTCATTTATTGAATTACTGTGTACAAGTTAAAGATGACATATTATTAAAGGTATCAACAGTTGCCTCAGGCGTGCAATAGATTTACAATTTTCATTTTAAATATAATATATGTACTATTTACATTTAACACATTACATTTTTGCAATTTGCATTTAATAGATGATAGATTTACAATTAACTTCTAAGATAAAATATTTAAAAAAAAATGCTTATAGATATAAATATAATAAAGAACACGATATTAACTCTTAAAATTATAGAATTCATTTAGCGTATAAAACGTATGTTCCACAAACCAGTTTTTTAGATTGTTCGAATTCGGGCCTTTTATTGTTTTAATACTATTAGGTACGTGATTAAATACTTTAATTGCTGTTATGTATGCACTTTTGTCAAACAATTTATTTTTAATTTGAGGTAGATAAAGATTGTTTTCGTAGCAAGGGCTTAAATTTTGCCGTTCCGAAAGTTTCGTTTCGAATAAATCGCAATTATTTCTAATAAATAGGCACAACTCTTAAGATATATATTCAAGTTAAAGTTAAAAAACGTTTTTCTTTAAATAAATTCCTCAGGCTGTCTCTATTTTTTTTACGGTATATGATGCGCAAACATCGTTTCTATAGTATAAACGTTTCATTTATGTTAGTTGAATTACCCCAAAAAATTATACTATAGATTAACAGTGGATAAATATAACCATAGTACGCATTTCTAGTAACAGATTCAGAGGTTGACCAAGAAAGTATTGAAAGAACATAGCAATAAATCGATATCTTTTTGTTAATCTTTTCTGTGTGATTTCCAATTTAGGTGAGATTCAATTTTAACTCCAAGAGAGCTTATATTATCTACATCCTCTATGACTGAGCCATCAAATATTTTTAAATGGATTGGTTCGGTCTTGTAATTTCTAAATTGGAGAGTATTAGTTTTACTTTAATTTTAGGTTTAGTTTGTTCATTATATATATTATAATAGACAAAGACCGATCGTAGAGAGAATCGGCCTGGGTATATGTCTGATGCATTGACTTATATATTACTAGAGTAAGGACCGGGCCGACCGAACAACTAAAACGGACCAATGTGTTGGCCCTAAAATTACAGTTTAGGGCCAACGCGAATCGGTTGACAGTGGTGCTCGCGCAGGACTGATTTTCCTGTCACAAATATGTCTAGTTGCGTGTTAAAAGAATGCAAAAATTACGATACAAAGATAAGAGAAACAAGGATATCGTATCATCGGTAAAGTAACGTTATATTAATTTTGTTACAATTAAATTATTATATAAACGCATTTTTAAAGTTTTATTTTACAGTAAGTTTAGTTACGTTACCAAGATTAGACCAGGGTTGGATTAAAACTCTATAAAATATTGTACATGGAAAATAAAATTATACTATTTAAAAAAAAATTATATCACGTTTGACGTTTCATGTTTCTTTTTTCCCATATACCGGGATTTTGGCGTCACACATCTAGTTTTATCTATACGTTTCGTATTTTAACGGTTTTATTTTTATTTCTGTTTAAATTTTGTCTTAAGAACTTAGTGTTAGTTAAATTTTGAATATTGGTACCTACCTAATATATTTTATATTCAATAAGGGTAAAACGAAAAGAGTACAAAAGAAAAGTATCGATCGAGCATTGATTGACCAGAAAGGGAGCTAATTCTAATTTTATTTATAAAAAAAACGCGGTACTCGTGTACAATATAGAAATTCTCGATATCGTCGGGTTAATATTAAAATGTAAAAAGGACCCAATAATAATACAAGTAGACCTTTAGGTAAAATTATGGTTTTTTCGCCTAGCATTATTACGATACTATGTACTACAAACTATAAAATAATGGTACAAACGTCTTGTTTTGATGTGACGTTTGTATTATGACAGATCGCTACTTTTTCTTGTATGAAAAAGTTATGAATAAAATATTTAGATGGGCCTTTCCTTCTTTTTGAAATCATTGGTCTGATGTAATCGATTTTAGAATATAAAACTGCAATGACACTGATAATGAAATTATAATGCCTCACTTTCTGTATATAGCCCTTTCTACGTTGTGTGGTAGCTGAAATAGTATTGTGTATTGTGTAGACATGCAGATGACTCCTAGCAACAAATAAGGTTTTCTTTAAGGCCACATTGGACAAAAATATCGTATTTTATACACGATTTTTACACTTGAGAATTGATACTTCTTGAAATCATATATGCTCGGAAAACGTAATATGTTTTCATGAAATACTTAATTTATAATCAAATCAAATATAAATTGTGATAATAAATTTTAATTTAATCGCCGGAAAAAAGGAAGGCCGCCGGAAGGCAGTGTAAAAGGCGTTTGAAAATCCTCGCCTTAAATGTAAATATACTATCGCAGGAGAGGAAGCTACGAGAAGAAACTCTCCGATCACAGCGATCTGAAGGTATGGCGGTAGCGGGGAGCGGCACAGCGGCTGATGTGGCGCGTTTGCAGGCTGATGTCGAGGCCCTCGAGGTAAAAATTTCTTTTCTGTTGTAATATAAATTATTCATTTCAACTAATTTTACTTCATCAATGAACAAAGAAAAAGTAGTTTGACTAAAGTCCAGTGTTTCCAGATGCCTTGAACTGCTAAAATCTGTATAAAATCTGCATAATCAAATAAACCGAAATAGAATTATTGATCATCATCATTGCTTCTATTAAAAAACAAGGAATAACTACTAACATGATAAAATTCAATTATCGTTATTAAATTAAAATATAAGCTAAAACTTTTTTATAGCAAAGTTGAGACCATTAATTTAAACAAACAATATATTAAAACTCAAACATTTGTAACAAACGAACTAATAATTACTTTATTATTTATTACTTTTATCTTTATATACTACTTTATTATTTTCAGTCATACTTATTTTATTTATAAATATTTTATAACTCACTTGTAACTCGTAATGCTGTCATACTAACTAATTACGTTGTGAAATAAATAAATTAACCATAAAGAATAGAAGCATGCAATGATGTGTGTAACTGTAACGCGATATCTAGTCATATACTTTGCTTTGTTCTAATTTGAATATTATGGTAATTCAATTAATAGAGTTAGGAAACTGTATAAAAATCTTTATCCAGTGCTAATCTGTATTACAAACCGTAAATCTGTATATATGGCAATTCGTCAAGATAAGTTCCACCTTTATACCTACTTCTGTCGATAAATAGCAGTGTTTGTGTACTGCTGTGTACCGGCCTGAAGGTTGTAGAAAGCCAGTGTTATAGGCTGAAAGGTATTTTGTCTTAGTTTTCAGAGGTGGCAACACGTCTGTAGACTTGTTTATTTGTAGTTGGTTGTCCATCGGTCGCAGTAGTTGCTTACCATCAGGTGGGCTGTAATTTGTAGCGATTTCATAAAAAAAAGACAAATAATTTCTTGGCAAGGTTTACTACACACAACAAAAATATTGCTTTTTTTTCCAGTTATTGATTTATTTGATGCATTAAATTGACTTGTGAATTGGGCCTCGGTTAAACTTAATGTAACCAGTGCTTAATGATTTCTTATATTTACGCGTAACCAGTGCTACTATTCTGTTAAAGCAATGTAAATGTAAAAAAATGAGTTCTGTATACCGAAATAATTGTTATGTCCATCCTTTTTCGAAATTACTGTTGCGTTGTCATTCTCGGCCACATCTTGGCCGAGAATGAGCGAAAGAATATAACAGAGAGCTGCGTATTTCACGTTAGGGCAGCAAATGCGGAATTACAATGCTCCTCGTTTATAGAAGAGAACCACGTACCTCATAGGCCAGTAGAATTTCTTGCAGTTTTTCTGTAGCTTGATGATCGATGCAGTGGGTTTTATCCTTGTATTAAACAATAACATAACATGGCACTCCGAATTAGCGTATGACGATTTGAGAATAGAGCGAAATTATTTTTTTAGCGATAGTGACGTGCTATTTGCGTCGCGGGTGCCCAGTCGTATTTAAATTATTGCGTAGCGCTGACGTCGATTATCTTCGTATGCGTTGCCTTCCATTTTATTTGAACTGAATATGAGAAATTAATAGGATAGGTATATATGGAAATATATATACTTCGACTGTGTAGTGGCGGTGTAAGAATATTTACTACCCCATATTCTCCCGTGGGTGTTGTAAGAGGCGTCAACGAGACATTGAAACAGGTGATGGGCGTCAGCATCTTCCTGATAACTCAAAATAAAAAAGCGTGTCAAATATCGCTCAACGACCTATGGAGAGGATTATACTCAGGCTTACTCTACGTGATAAACTTAGAAATGAGTGTATCCGCAGTAGAACTAGAGTTACCGGCATAGCCCGACGGATTAGTAAGTTGAAGTGGCAATGGGCCGGCCATATAGCTTGAAGAACCGACAACCGATGGGGAAAAAAGGTTCTCGAGTGGCAGTCTCGTACCAGTAGGTGAAGTGTAGGGCTAGGGCGACCTCCCCATTAGATGAAGTGATGACCTGGTAAGACATACAGGAAGGCGATGAATGCACGTGGATCACGACCGTGCTTTGTGGCATTCCTTGGGGGAGACCTATGTTTAGCAGTGGACTTGTGATGGGCTGAAATGATGATAGTTCAAATAACCTATAACCGATGGGGAAGGAAAGGTTCTTGAGTGGCCGACTCATACTGTAAGCGAAGAGTTGGGGTGGCTTACCCGCTAGTAGGTGGCTCAGGAACGTAGTTCTTTGTGGTAGGCCTATGTTCAGCTGTGACTTGTGAAGGGCTATAACGATGATGATGATGATGATGATAATGATAAAGGAGACGTTGCTGGCCTCTCGGTTTGTTTTGTTCTGTCGCCTCATACGACACGAGGTGATATTTGTGGGTAGATTTTAATGTTCGTAGTACATTTGCAGTCGCAGTACAAGGAGTCCCTGGCGCAGCAACAAGCGCGCTACAGCGCGGAGCTGGCCGCGCTGCGCGACCAGCTGCAGGAGGGCGACGCCGTGCGCAACGTGCTCAGCCGCGAGGTATACCAGCACACACGACACCGATATACAGAAGAAACACACATACATAGCTAGTTGAAGCAATTGTTTGTTTCTCCAATCATACACGTAAATTCACTGACCAAACTACGTACAAATTTTTTTTTATAAGGTAGGGTGACAAACGAGCACACAGTCCACCTGATGGTAAGTGGTTGCTGCGGCCCATAGACATCTACATCTATCCTCGATTACGAATCAAAATGCAGGTGCGTTGTCACCCGTGAGGACTAAAATAAAATGCCTCGTTTCCAGTAAAAAGGGTCTCCGGTTCTCTACACTCACTATATGAACCGGGAGCATTAAGCTACTATTTTAGGCTGGTATTAAATTCTGCCATAGACTGCTACTGGCAGGCGGGTTTATAACCGCATTTCGTTATAATTTGGAGTTGATATCAGGAAGATGTTGCTGCTTATCTCTTGTTACGGCTTCCCTCTGTCGCTTCTTACGACACCCACGGGATGATGTGTGGTTATGGATATTGTTCCACCACCACTATCCTAACTGATTGCGGACCCTTAATGCGCAAACGTAACACTCATCTGGGAAACATGTACTCCACCCAGAAGAAGTGAAATTGCTCACGCCTAAGCAACTCCTTCTATTCATTGAAGACATAGGGCTTAGCCGTGAACTATAGCCATAGCAGCGATCACAATAGATCTTTTAGGTCGCAGTGATACTGGTCTCTTTCCCTAAACCTGCATAGCTGATAGCACATTATAAAAAAAATAAAAAAAATACAGCACCACTACACTAAACAGACTCATCACGTCTCAAAAAGATGTCTCGTACCTTTTTATCTTTTGTCACTCGTCTTGGTGTTTTATTTCGCTTATAAAATAGTTTTGTATGTTTTACAATCCTGGGAAAAACACCACGTTAGCAACTTCTGTAATCTCTTAAATGCATTTAATTGTGTGGATCATACACTTTTAATTTAATAAACTTAAATATTACGGCGTTCATAATACAGCACATGATCTGTTACAATCTTTCAAATCGAAATAAAAAGGTTGCAATCATCATCATTAAGAATTTTATTTTGTTCATTTCTTTGAAAATCTATTCGATACTAAAATAAATATTTGTAACTTTTTAAAACAACATACATAACATAAACTCACACGACTGTTACCTAGAGAGCTATGCAGAGACTACTAACTTCCATTCGGCACGATCCTGATACATCTTTCTCTTTTCATTTATATCCATACGCATACATGCTCGTCAGTTAAGGGTACTCTTTTTTTTTATTTATTTTATGTACACACATTAAGGTACAGAAGCAGTCTTATAGTAATTACGTACAAAGGTTCTACTTATTCCAAATTCGCTGAAATATCTTCCAGTAGACCCATAAAGGAAATTGTATTTAAATTGCAAACTTGGTGCATACATTAGTACTACTAAAAATAAATAATATACACAATGTTACGGAAATTATATAAAATAAAACAATAAATAAAAATAAAATAAATCAATAAATAATAATAATAATAAATACGATAGTTACATATGATATATATATATATATATATATATATATATATATATATATATATATATATGAAAAATATATATATATATATAATATATTAACAGGGTGCAAAGTAGTTATCTCTAAGACGTTTCTTGAATATCAACAAAGTTTCGGAATTTCTTATATTTGACGGTAGTGAGTTCATAATGATTTCTTATAATTCGGGAATTAAAAATAAAAAGTAAAAAAATAAACGCGATAAAATCCGTAAAAGTAGTTTTAATCATGGTAGTGAGTTCCATAATCTTACCGCGTGAACTGAAAGGGAGTGGGAGTAAAAACCGGAATTAAAGACGGGAAAGTCAAGAAGATTTTTAACAAGGGATCTGCATGGTTTGTCCGGAGGATGGGTGAAGGAAAATCGGCTTCTGAGGTATGTGGGAGAGGAAGGGTTGTGCAAAGTGTTATAGAGGACACATAACAATCGAGTGTTCCTTCGAAGTCGAATTAGAAGCCACTTGAGTTGCTTACGAAACTGAGATATACGGTCAAATTTCTTGAGCCCAAATATGAAACGGATACACTGATTTTGCACTCTTATAAATATACAGTCTAGCGGTAACTGTTATTACGCATAAGTCGAAAATAAGGTGTCATGGGCGTCCGCACGCGTTGATTGGCTACTGCTTCTTACGTACGGCTATGGCTATTGGAGTACTGATACGACGTGCTCAGCCATCCCCTCCACGTTTCGTTCAGCGCTAGACTTACCTGCGGCGACTTGTAATTTGACCCATCTTCAGTATATCATCACCAATTTGAATGGTGTCCCTTGCCGACTCTGCCACTCACTTATGTAGCATAAATTTGCTTTGTCACTTTCCTCATTCATGTTTTTTCGTCTCTAAACCACCGAAGCATTATTTTCTTAACGTTGGTAATTGATAGTAGAAATTTTCTTTAGAACTTTAAAAATACCCTCGATAGTAAAAAAAAATTATTTGGAATTTAAAAACAGTAAAGTAACCTCATAGATAAAGTGTTATATTAATATAATTCCCTTTATTTCTCACGACTGCTAAGTAAATACAATAACTTTTCAAGCTCTAATAGTAAATTCATCTCTTTCTTATAACAATTGTTGTTACAGCTACAAACATCCAAAGAAAAACTCGAGAGCCGTCGATTGGAGCAGCTGTCGGACAGCGAAGACAAACAAATGCTCATCAACGAGAACAGGAAACTGGCGAAGGATCTTGATGCGGTGCGTGGTTTCATTATCATTTAAACTTTCATTTTTGAACTAATAGTACAAACGGTGGACTTTAGTTTAGTTTAGTTTACGACGGGCTGTTTTCCGCAACTCCACGTCTAAGCGCGTATTTTGCGTGTGGGCAGGAATAATATGCTTATTCGAGCCATGATATCTCCCCGAAGAAGCTCAGCAGTCCCTTGGTGTTGCAAGCAACTTCGGGGAGCGATCCCGGCGTGCCGAGATGTTTAGCCCTGTATGAAGCAACTTCTGGACATGTCAGCAACACGTGAGCCGCCGTTTCTTCCTCACCCATGCATGCCCTGCACAGGGGGAAAAAAACGGTGGACTTATTTCCATAATATGGAATTTGGACCAGTACCGGAACGTAAGAGGGAGAAATATTGTACTAAAGTCGTCTAAAAACATTGTAGACAAAATCGTATACATTTTTTTATAGGATAAGGTTGACCAACAAAGAGATTTAAATATATATACTATAGTGCGGACATAGACATAGAAACATAGTAATACTAAGCTGAATATTTATTAGGAAAACATTTTAGCTTTTCCCCATTATGTGACGCTACTAAATATAAGGTAAAAATACACTAACACACTGGTAAATAAATAATGACGTTACTGGATAACAAAGAGCGTTTATTACAATAATTAATAAATGTTCTAGAACAATCTACTAGAAATAATATTTAAAGATTATTTGGTAAATATACATTATTCTTACGATTATTAATCGAAATCACGTTCATTTTTTGCTCCATATCGTGGCTCAACCGGGCATATTTTCTTTAAAAATAATTTTTTAATTTACGAATACGCACTGTCTTGACTTTTTGACGATGTCACTAAGACTAAATGTCAATAATCGGAAATACATCCTATGGGACAAAATTCACAGACGACAATTTTGTTGCTGATGTCTAGTCTGTTACTACTACTAAAATGTCTTTTACAAACGAGCACACAGTCCACCTAATGGTAAGCGATTACTGTGGCCCATAGACATCCGCATCTATCCTTGGTTACGAATTATAATACAGATGCGTTGTAATCCATGACTGATGCAATTTCGTTTCCATTAAAAAGGGTCTCCGGTTCTTCATACTCACCATACAAAACACACACACAACACAGTAGCATTGAGCTGTTATTTTACGCTGGTATTCTGTATAATACATACATGTATACAAAAAAATAAAATCAAATAAATATTGTTTCCATTATGCTCAAGGCGTGTTTTAAAGAAACGTGTTGTATTTGTTACCAGATGGCGGAGAACGGTCGACGATGGCAGACGGAAAGGAGACAGCTGGAGATGGAGTTGGAGGAGTTACGAGCAAAGAGAGACACTATGCATCATTGGGAGGCACAGGTAGATTGACAGTTTTATAGAAAATTCTCATACAGTAAGTACTCATAAGGGGAACTTTAATGTAAATTTCATGTTTTTGTTTCTTTTGTTTCAAATTTCAATTCAGTTCATTTTATTTTGTTTCCACTGACCTTATTTAAGAAAAGCATTATATTTTCGAAAGTTCCACTACAATTTCATTTTGGATAATTTACCTTTTCAATTTTACTCTTAAAGATATTCGTATAGATTATCCAAAAAATATATTGTTTCAGATTGCAGATATTATTCGATGGGTGGCTGACGAGAAGGAGGCTCGCGGCTATCTGCAGGCGCTCGCAACTAAGATGACTGAAGAGTTAGATTATCTAAAACACGGTAGGTAAAACTCATCTTTAGTAGTTAAAAGTGAAGATAATGACTTCTTATATTAGCTCTTTACCCATAAAATTGCCGTTTTTTATGAAATAAGTTAACGTAATTTATTTCAATATTTTTAATTTCTATTAATCAAAGAAATCTGTAATCACCCGTGCAATCGATGCATTTTGATAACGTAGTGGTAGTTTTATTGATGTTCTTCTATAGAAATCAGTTCGTCGGGAACCAACAAACTCTTCAAAGGCATTTTGTACTGCCTCTTGGGTATAGAATTTTTTCCCGCCAAAAATTATTCAAATTCTGGAAATGTAAATGTACGTATAAGGTCTGGTGAGTACGGCGGATGATGGAGACCTTCCCACCCCAGCTGTTGTATCTTGGAGACCGTCTGTTGTGTAGTATGCGGTCGTGCAAGAGCATCGAGGATGAGCGATTCACAAGAGCTGGTTGGAGACGTGCGAGCTTCTCCATCATTTTAGTTAGTTCTTCATAGCGCACATCTTCAGTAATGCTCATCTCATTTGGTAAGAAGCTGTGATGAATCATACCGGCGCTAGACCACCAAACATTGACCATAATTTCTAGGGGTATGTTTTCGTTTAGGGCGTTGTTTATGTGCTGAAACAGGATCCAACCAACTTGCCGAGCGCTTGCGATTGTCCAAACATGATCCACTTTTCCTCGCAGGTAACAATGCGGTTCAAATTCCCTTCATTTGTGTGCCTGTTGTGCAGTGCAAGACATGTGTCGACACATACTTCGCGCTGGGGCTCCTAGAGTTCGTAGGGCATTCATTTGTCAAGCTTTTTTACCTTGCCAACTTGACCCAAATGGCCCAATATTGTTTTGATGATAACGTCGAAAGCTGCTGCTAATTCAGCCGTGTCATTCCTTAATCGCCTTTAATTCGTCATTTTCGACCAAAGTTTTTGGACGACGACGGGGTTAATTTTTCAGGTCGAAATGTCCAGAACGGAAGCGGGCAAACGAATAACTGGTGGTGTGTTCGTTTGTATCATTCGCTCCGTAAACGTTGATTTTACGTGCCGCTTGTGCCGCGTTGCTGCCTTGACGGTACTCATATTCCATAATTACTCGAATTTTTGACATATCCATGATAACGAAAAAGATTCAAATGCGATGAAAAAAACAAAAAAAACCACGTGGACTAATCAATTAAAATAAATGACTAATTTTGGAGACAAAAAAAAAAATCAGGAATGGTTTGCAGCCATAAACCCACAACTAAATAAAATTGATATTATTAGTAGATAATTAATGAGTACTATTTATTAAAATTAAAAGAACTTTTATGTCGTTAATTGCATCGACGAGTTGTTAGTGTGTCGTTTGATAGCGTGATACGACTTAACTTTGACGCGAACGTTACGCTGAACTTTGTGCCTCGAGAGGAGACCGCGTTCGATCTCGTGGTTATAGTTTTGTGCTAAGTGAACTTGGGGCTTTGAACCTTGACCAACCGTCCTTAAGTTGTGCAGCGTGTCACTTGCTTTAATGTCGATTAACGTTGATTTGGTTGAATTCGAAGTTAATTAAATGTACAATAAAGTTGATAAAATAACATAGTGAAAATAGAAGCAGAAGCTTTCAATTGGTGAACGCCCCCATGGAGGGATCTCACATTTGGAGAGAAGCAGCGCCTTTGGATCGGCAGTCCTGGACCAGCGGGGCTGTCAAGTTACACAGTGTACAAACTACTACACACTACTTACATGCACATCACTTCCCACCTGACAGGTACCTCGTGGTCAACCCTACCCCCGCCAATCGGTAAGTGGTGGTTGCTTCTTTGTCAGCAGTTTTTGGAATCGTTATTCATAGGCCATTTGGAGGTCCTCCCTTCTGTTACTCGTCGAGTTGGATTACGATGGGCCCTAATTCAATCGACCTTTGTCGGGGTAACTCAGGGCCGTAACAATTATATATAATTTAAATATTATATATGTACATTGTGTAACGAGACTCTTCATCTCTGTCCCAATCAGTGAATTTTTTTACATTATAAGGGTGACAAACGGGCAATTAGTTCAACTGATGTTAAGTGGATGTTGTAGCCCATAGACATTTTCATCTATCCTCGATTAAGTATCAAAATTCACATGCCTTGTCACCCCTGCAAATCTAAGATGGAATGCGTCGTTTCCATTAAAAAGGGTCTCCGGTTCTCTACAATCACCATCCAAAATATAGCGACATTGGGCTGCTGTTTCACGTTGGTATTTTGTGAGAGCTCGATCCTTCCTTTAACGAGCCGACCCATTCGTGCTACAACTATAATATATCTCCAGCGTAGCTCTCACACGTAAAAAGCATCTGGTGAACGGAAGATCATTCATTACCTCTCATCGGTGTGTTGCAGCGAGCGGGACGCGGGGCAGCGGGGTGCCGTCTTCCCCGCCGGCGGTGGGCGGCGCGGGCGCGGCGGGCGGCGCAGGCTCGGGCGGCTGGCGCAACCGGCGCTCGCAGAAGCTGGACAAGATGGAGATCCTCACGCTGCAGTCCTCACTGCACTCCGAAATACAGGCCAAGCAGGCCGTCGGCGAGGAGCTTTCCCGCACGCGCGCGGAGCTGCTCGCCAGCCAGAGGTAAAAACTACTTATTCGAGTATTTCCGTCGAGAAATTCTCAGTAACTGCCCGTAGTCAGGAAGTCGCCGGTGTCCACCTGCGCGCCTCGGAAAACACGTAAAGCCATTGGTCCTGCGCCTGATCTCTCTCCGGTCGTGTCGGCTTGCCGACTATGAAAGTGAGGGAATAGAGAGTGCATCTGTGCTTGCGCATACACTTGGGCACTATAATCCTGTCTTGCGCCGATGGCTGGCCTCCGTTGAGGCTGACCGCCATGAGCGAAATTCGGTCCGTAGGATATTATTGATCTCTTCAAGTGCAAGCTCTGCTGTTTAGCTGCAAATAAGTAGGGGTAACTACTTGGATGTACTCCTAAGCAATTCTATTCGTAACTTTAAGCTTTTATATTAACCAGACTTTATTAAATAAACTATATTCTCCTATTAAAATTTAAAATAGGATAATATATAAAGTAGTAAAGTTAGCAACCTTGTAATGTTGTAAGAAAGTCTACTTTCCCATAGTATTCAGTCTTGTGAGTGTTGTAAAAGAAGATAGAGAAAAACAAACCAAAAGATGGGCAGCAGTGTCTTCCTAATAATGAGTTTTTTTTTAATTCTCAAACCGCCTGGGGACGCCTGTGATCAGCAGTGGATTTTAATAGGCTGTAATGGATAAATGTGTGTTGGCAACCCTAATCTTAACACACCTTTCCAATCTCATCACCCGTTCATCTACTGCTGAACATAACCCATAATAGCCGTGTTGGTTTTCATAGCTTTAATACTGTTGCCAGACGCAAATCTTGGTATTTAATATCTAGTAGTACCCGGATGACCGAGCTGTGCTCGTTTTTTTTTTTTGAAATTACATTTACATACAAATTACATACTGATGAATAATATTTTTTGATCTTATGGACATAATAGAAAAAACTGAATTGGTTATTTGAATAAAAAATCATGAGTGCAATTAGTTTAATTAAAATTTTCGTATTTTTAAAAAATACTAAAAAAGGGCTCGAAGTAATAGATTTTCTCACAAAAGAAGGGAACTTTAAAAAAAAAAAACGAAGAAAAAAGCGGACCGAAGACAGGACGCGAACCAAGGCATTACGATTTCGCGACCACTCGATATCCACTTGAGCTATTACGATCATTAACACAGCGTCAAAATTTACCTTCTTATAATGTAGCAGTTTTTCATTGCCTGAAAACACGGACAAAAAGACATTTTCTAAAAATAAATCCTAGCTAGATCGATTTTTTGCCCCCGAAACTCCCTGGACACAAATTTTTTTATATATATTATATATAAATTTTATAAAAATATATAAATATATATAATGCTGAGAGCGCGCTTAGGTTAAGCAAAGCCTAAGTGAACGAAATCGACGACTTACGAAAAGCACAGGATATTAACTAAAACCACTATTAATTTTAAATTGTTGTTTTTATCTTATTTATAACAATAAATAAGTAGTTTGAAATAGCGTTAATCCATTTTCTATTTACGTAATTTCAAACTTATTTCGACTGTCTTAAAATCTTTATTTTTCTTTGTGATTTTTGCACTGTTTTCATCCGTTCTCAGTCGACAAATCAGCAGAAAAAAACAGCAGTGTAAGCCAAAAATTTATATTATTATAAAATCTCTAAAGTAGATAAAACTATATATTCTCCATGACCATCGCAATGACGAATATGTAGGTAGGTATATAGGTAGGATCGGGAGTCCAAGTTCCAAAGCCAGTCGTAAATAAAAGATCAGACATTTAAAATATAAGTAGAAAGTTAAATGCACACAATATAAATAAACCAAAAGCACATTTGAAACAGTGTTTTGACAGCACTACACCGGTTGACCAAACGTTCAGTTTCTTTGTCATATTTTAAAATAAAATTAGTTAAATCTAACTTTTTTATGAAATGCAATTTGGATCTTTTTCGATTTTTAAATATTAAATTTTCTGAATTTTACAAGGTTAGCATAATCTTAGCCCGTTACAACAAGTTCAGAATCAAAGGTTACGCTAAGCATATATACTCATACTCAGCTAAGTTTCTCGTAGGTAAAGTCTGAGCAAAGTCAAAGTACGGTCTAGATCTCAGGCTAAGTCGCTAAGTAAAATATCGTTTAGTATTAAGAGTACGTTTTAGGATTATCGTATCTGATAGTATAAAAGTGGTCAAAATACTTATCCGGTGTGTGTGTTATTTCTATAGAGAATTACTAGAAACACGGCAGCGCTTGGACTCGTTGGCTCACGACATGAAGCGCAAGGAACAACACATCAGGGACATGCAGGCGAAGCTCGACGCCCCTCTGCAGCCCGGCAACTCCTGTGAGTATATCTATTGTACACACACACACACATACACACCGACAAAAACCACTTGTATGTAGTTGTTCTAACAACTTGATTGATTTCATTTTGATGTAAAGTTGTAAACTATAACTCTTAATTCCTTTTTGTTTGAAAAACAAAAGACAACTTTTGGAGAAATAAAATGTATATTTTCGGTAGCTTAGCTTATACCTACTACTGCTTCGTAATTTCTCTGACCAGGCAAGAATGGCAAAAAAATTGCTAACAATATTGCCATACCTTTTATTGTAGGTCAACATGAACACATCCACTGAATCTAGGGATATTTTATATTTCATCAAATAGCTAAAAATCTATGAATAATTTTCTGATACAGTAATTAGAATGATAGGTTATTTAAAGGTGTTTATTAAAAAATAAAAACCATTACGTATTTTTTTGTTTTAAATAAATATGTAATTTTTTTAATCCCTGTAGAAAATTAGTATATTAAAAAAACATCATTTCTTCTTATATTAACTATTAATTTTAATAAAAATTTAAAAATCTTACAAAATCTAATTACTAATAATCAGTGTTGCCACCTCTTACATTAATTACACATCGACATCGATTGTTCATACTTAAAATTAAATTGTCAATGTCTTGCTGTGGTATTAGGTCCCATGTTCTTTGCAAGTGTTGGTAAAGTTGGTTCCGTCGTCAAATTTGGCGGGAAATCTTTCAAAGCTTTTCATTGTAACATGTCCCAGGCATGCTCGATAGGATTTAAGTCTGGCGACTGTGCAGGCCAATCCAAAACATGAATATCGTGGTCTCGGAGAGTGGCTAACATCAGCCGCGCCTTATGGGAAGGAGCATTATCGTGCATGAGTAGAAATTTCTGGCCCATTTGGATTCTGTGTGGGACAATAACAGACTCTACTACTTCCTCGTGGTATTTTTGTGCAGTTATGCTGCCTTGGGTCCAAACGAGCTGGGTATGTCCGCCAAGACGAATTCCTGTCCATAAAATCTTGGTTTGAGTGGACCTCCTGAGGGTGCCGTAGACGGCCAACTCTCATTGGAGTTCTCCAAACGCGTGTTCTTCGTGAATCCGGATGAAACCCAAATCGGGACTCATCGGTGAACAGCACCAAAGACGACTGTTCGTCACTCCATGGTAAATGCTCCCAAGTCCATATACAGCAGCCCATAAACAGCCAGAATACGTAGCGGTCTTCAAGCATGAAGACCAACTTCATGCAACCTCTTTCGCACGGTTTGGTCGCTTACCAGCCGTGGTCCTCTTGTAGCCTTTGTAGTAATTGCAATCGCTGTGATATTGGGTTGTCTTCTGGCGGTCATTTGAAAAAATTGATCCTCTGTGTAGTAACACGATATCTACCCGTGTGCCATTCAACCACATTCCCAGTACTGCGATAACATGACTACAACCTTGATATCACGTTTTGGCTTGTGTGTAATAGTACCATTTTCTAACATTCCATCTCGACTCAAATGAAGACGTGACATGACTCTTAAAGCTCACACGGCACGTTTAATAAAAAAAAAAACAACCTAATCCCTTTTCATTAATTAATATCAGTAGAACAATTTTAATTTTCCTTGACGTAGCAAATTACTAATAATTTTGCCACCGAATTTTGTTTTTCCTTTTGTTTTTTTTTTATTTACATTTTTAAATTTTGAAAATAGAATAAAATAGGTTTCAATCTGTATATAAACTTTTTATGGAAACTAAAAAGATTTTTAAATGTGAATTCGTAAATAATTTAGGATTAATGTACCCCTAGATTCTGTTTATGTGTTTAAATAAGGTGTTGCCATAATAAATATACCTTTCAATGCTAAGGTATTTTACATTTATGAAAATATGTCGTAAATGTGTCAATGTTTGGGAAAAATTTAATATACTCTAAAACGGTTAATAATTAATAAGTAGTTAGAAAAAATCAATTATATTAGTACAATATCCTTAAGTCGTTTTTATTCTTAAGTCGGTTATACCTTTAGAAAAATATGGCAGTCATAGAGGTATGTATTTGGGGTTGCTTCAGTTTCGGATATGAAATCAGTCGAGTTTAATTCGCATCGTAAATTTTGATTTGATACATAGATTTGATTTGGGATTCACGATTTCGCTTCTATATTTTATTAATTTATTTTAATAGTATATAAATATTTATATATTATAAGTATTATAAGCCATTTATTTTAGTACATTACACTGTACTGTATACAGAGGTAATATTATGTTTATTTAGTGCACCTTTTCTTTTTGTTTTCGTTACATGTTACCGCACAATCCCACCCAATACACAAACGTCAAATGTACGTATCTGTGACGTCACAAAAACGACGACATCCCGACGTCAAATGGAAATTTGGGCTCCCCGCACAAAGTCCAACGTCGACCGCGTCGAAAAAAACGGAAATAACTCTGGGGAACATTCTTATTTATCTATCGTTTGGTGGCATTATGGACTGTATGTGAAAATGATTTGTTATTGTATCTGTGAAAAATGCATTTGGAACTGTGATTTTGATACGTCCTGCCATTACATTAAAAATCCATTTGAAAAAATGGTAAACTTTGGGGCCATTACCTTTTTTGCGCTTATATTAAATTATTTTCAATTACGCCAACTGCATTTATGTGGACCGATTTGTATTGTTGTGGCATTTATTTTACATCGCGTGGATATATTTTGTATGTTTTATACCTGTTATTTTGTTTCGTGACTTCTACTTTTGTGCTTTTGTTTTTTTTTTTCTATGATAGTTCGGACATGGTTAAGGCCATATATACCCCTGTTTTTAGGTGTTACCTCTTGCATATGGGGTGTTGCTGTTCTGATATATCATCAAATGTATAGCTCCTGATTTTAAATGAATAATTTACTTAAATTTTATATGTTATATATTTTATTGCATAGGCGCATATCTTTTTAATGAAATTTGTAATATTTATGTTGGAGGTGTCAATGTCATTAAATGAACTTCATTCTAGTCTACAAATTGAAATCTAGTCTGTTACAATTCTTACCAAAGATTTTTTTTAACTTAATCGTCTTAACTTTTATTTATTTTATGCCTGGACCAGTCGAACTAGTCAAGTTTTATTTTTAATTTACAATTTTGTAAGGTGACTAATAATATGGGTAATTATTGACCATGTTAACAATATTTAAATAAAACATGAACGAATCATTAAAAATATTAGCACAATGGTGGAAGTTGTCATTTAGATCGGCTGTAGAATCTCAGTGCATTTTATTATTTCTGTGGTTATTTATTTTTAAGCTTATTTAAGCGCTACTTTTATATTACTACGATATTTCGACACTACAGCTTAAACACATAATTGGATATGTTACATAATATTTATTTACTTTGTAATGTTTATGTCTGGTTGGCATGTAAACAATATTTGACGTTTATTGTGCTGTCCTGCCAACACAGCTATGTTTATCAAAGAATCATGTCCAGTCTTGACCTGAAAATTTTCTAACTTGTCTAGTGATGTAAAATATCTTATAAAGTTGCATATTTTTTGCTTATTTCGTATCACATAATTAAATTTTCAAATAAAGCCAGGAAAAAAATAATGTTACTATTACCATTTTTGGAGACGGAACCTGTACTACAATGGCTCAAAGGCCGAGAAGCCATGCCAAAATATAATAAAAACGTGTTTTACATGTTCCATTTTCGACTACAAAAATTTGTTCATTCGTCATGTGGTTAATATTCAAAATAACTAAATGTTTTTTTATAACTTACAAATTTTTGATAAATACGATTTTTTAGGGTTTTGTACTATGATGTGGAAAGGAAAATAAGTGTACAGACCTTATCTGACAGCTGTTATAACCTCAAAAACTTATTTACTTTATAGCATTTTTCCCTGACCTCTGATCAGGGAAAAATGCTATTATTATGCTATATTATATTAATGCTATTATTATCAATGAAAAGATGATAAGTTTATTATGTTATTCTAAACAATAATTGTTTTTATTCAATAGTAGTTGTAGGTAGATGCGACCTGTTAAAAGAATCAAGTGACAGGTCATTCAATGTATGGAAAGTGAGCATGATTATTTACTAAGAAACAATTCGTTGTTGTTTTATATATTGGATAGTTGGACACTGCTATAAATATATTTAATTATAAATAACTATCATCACGTAAATAAAATGGGCTACAATTTTAACTTAATTTTACGAAATTGACTAGTTGATAACTTAGTTTTCAGTTAAAAAGGGTTAAAAAACCTTAATCATATACCATAAAGAAAATATAATTAGAAGATCTTGTCTGTGATTTACTGTCAACTTTTACCACACCATGTGCTGAAAAAATATTTTTGTGTTATTATTTGATGACGTATTAAAACTGGTAAAATCTCATTTAGATGTCTTGAAATCAAATTGGAAAACTCCAATAAATCACGAGTGTTTTTGATAAATTAGGATAAAATACATTTCCAAAAATTTTGAAAATTTTACACATTTTCTGCCTTAGGTAATCTGGATTCTACTAGGATATTCTTTTTTAATTAAGCTGTACTGTCGAAAAGTTATTATCTTTTTCTTTTTGTGTACCGTTTGCGTTTCTTTTAAGTTTACATTTACTCTGCATTTACTTTGTTATTTTTTTTAATAAACTTTTGTGAAATTATCCACGTGCACAGTATGTGTAAAGATTTTTTGTTTATGGGAACTTTGTTTATAGGTACATCGTTCTTGTATAAATATGATATTAAAGTTGTAACATCTTGTTAGTTATCTTTGTTTTATTCGTCCATAACAAAAAATATTCAGAATTTGCAAATTTGAATTCTAAGTGTACAATTAAAGTGTACAATTAAAGTATACAATTAAAGTATACAATTAAAGTATACAATTAAAGTCTACAATTAAAGTATACAATTAAAGTATACAATTAAAGCATACAATTAAAGTCGGAAGTTGTTGCAAGCAGCGAGGCAGGGATCCGCCAAATCATCGACATATTGGAGCGGTAAAGAAGAGAACGGTTCGTTGGTTTCATTAAGTTAAATATTAAACAGTTTGTCCATAATAATGTCTATTTAGAAGTAGATTATTGTTTGTGAATGTTTACCTGTATGTTCTATTACAGTGTCTGTTGTTATTGCTAAATGTAAGAATCGTCCATTTTTGTAACTACCTATTAGTGACCGCTATTTAGATAAAGCTTTCCATTCAATGTTTAATATCATTCACTTCATTCATTCACATTATTTTAATAGAAACCAATATTTACTAGTTTAGTTATGAATGAGTCTTTTGCAGTTCACACAAATAGAAGTTACTTATATCAACACAAAAAAATTAACAACAGATATTGTATTATTTTCAAGGTCTAATGGATTTCTTGCCTTTGTGCGGCGGTTCTATTTTAAAAATATTAATTTAGTCTATGAATCGTTCATTGTAAGTACGAGCAAGTGTCAAGAAAAAAATATTTTTGTTATTTTTTAATCAAATGCATTATCACTGTTTTGGTGTATCATCGAACGCTTTTTCAAATCAAGTTAGTAAGTTGAAGTCACAGTTTCTGAACACAAAGTATAGTTTATTTATTCTATATAGTGTACATACAACATTTTTTTTGTATATATTTTGTTAATTGTACTGTAAATTTACGTAATGAAAGTAAAGGGGATGCAAAAAAGAGATGAATCTTAAGTTGTTAACAGTTAAATGAGTAATTAAATATTTATAATACATATATGATTCCAAAACAGTGATAGCCACAGAAGATTTGCAATTACTCCATTTTTACCGAAATACTTCTTTCCATGTAAATCGCTTCGCTTCTGCTTGAGCTTCTTGCGGTGGCATGGATGTGACAAAGAAAACTCGTTTTTTTTGCCTAGGATTACTAATTAAGGTCTAAACGTCTAAGTACGGACCACACTTTTACCTATTTTTACCGCCTGTACTAAAACTACTGTATTCAGGTCAAAAATGGTAAACAGAGCCAGAATAATTACACGCTGTAAAGACTGCAGATGCGTTTTCACCTCTGAGGACTAAAATGGAATGCTTTAAGGCCGATTTACACTTCGACAAGTACAGTAGCGAGTTTACTTGCGAACCTGGCGAGTTAAATTTGAACCTCGTTTGAACAGCAATAAGCGAGTTAAGTAGCAAGTTAACGATTAAGTTGAACGGGATAGCCGGCCGAGCTATTTTTCGGCGAGTTAAGTGCAACACTTCGCACGCCCTCCCGCGCGTCTCCCGCCACCCGCAACTAAACTCGCCGTTCGTGTGATCGAGCGAGTTTAGTTCATTGCATAAGTTGACAGAACGCAACGTTTGCGCGCGAAAACGTACAATTGTACTTTTATAATTAAACTCGCCGCAAAGTTTGTACGACACTGTTTGTTGAATATTTATACGTTTTATATTGAGTTTTAATAATAAAATGGATGGAAGATATCACGTATAAATTCGTACAGGAGTATTTAGAACACGAATGTTTATATAATAGTAGAAGTTCAAATTGTAAAATTAAACCTGCCCGAGGTGCTGCACTCATGAAAATTCTTAAAAACTTCTTTAATAACAACCAGTAATATTTCTCTGGCTATATCATTTAACTCTTGACGTAATGCTAGATCCATCTTAAACGAAAACAGGAAAAATTCTGTAGTTTTAAAACGTCACACTGAAACTCTAGGAACTAACGTCCTTAACTAAACTCGCCACGAAGACATTGTTTGAATGCTACTGCCCACTTGACCATTTACTGTCAACTGTCCTGAAACTAAACTCGCTGCTGTACTTGTCGAAGTGTAAATCGGTCTTAAGGTGTTCCATTTTAGTCCTCAGAGGTGAAAACACACCTGCAGTCTTTTTTGTTTGAAGTTGGTTTCAGGTGCACTTATCATCAGGTTAACTGTCAGTTCGTTTGTCACTTAAATTTATTAAAAAAAAGTAACACATATACACTGAGTTGCCAGTAAAAATTGCAGTTAACGTATCATTCGATATACACACATAACGGGTATACCTATGATACTTACGTATGATACGTACGTATGATACGTTTAGAACTTAAATAAGATATAAAATACATCTTATCAAGATATTCCTGTTTTTGCCTAAACAACGCTTACATAGTTTTTGTCAAAGTATTTTTTTTTTTGATTTTATTACCCTAACAATGTTTTCAGCATAGACCAAAGAGCTTGAGACCATTTTTTGTTCCCTTTGATTTAATGTTTCATAACACTAAGTAACGCGCTGAGCGATTTGGTTTTTTTTCCTTAACACTTGTTTGTATACATATGTATATAGGGATTGACTAATCAATTTTATTGTATATTATACTCCTCTGTTTTGTAAACACCCTTAGAGAGTCGACAACCGTGTCAACATTCACACAGTTATATTGTTATTCGAAAGAAGTATGTTTTGTGTAAGCTAAGATACAAGCTTAGTAAAACATATTTTTGGTGTACCTTCTTGATAATCTTTATAATTAACACTGAATAAATAAATACTGGAGACAAGGCATTCAATCTTAGTCTTCAGAGGTGGCAGTGCATCTGCGTTTTTATTCTTATTCCACGATAGATATAGATGCATATAGGCCACAGCATCCACTTACAATCAGATGGACTGTGTGCTCGCGTGTCACCCATATTCTATAAAAAATATGAACACAAAGGCTCCATATCAAAGCGGGGGCACATTTCTGGGAAGAGAAACTTCTTTATGATTCTTGTATAAGGTTTATTGACTATGGGGAAAGTGTACGATAGACGTCGGTATAACCATGTCGTATAATATGCAAGATATATATAATAATAGTACGAGCTTGGGGATAGCTTAGAAGATGGCCCATTCCTGCCAAACATGGCATGATAATAGCAGATAATTGGAAAAAGACCATTTCTAACAGTGTCAAAGACTGTTATGATGACTATATTATAATGCAGTGTTTTTGATATTTTTAAAAATGATAATAATGTTCATCATTATTGTGTGAGCGTTGACGCGGGCGTCGTTGGGTTTAGTTTTGTATAGTGTCAATTGTAAGCGTCCAATGCATGTTGTAGTCCTTATTTTGTTCACTAAAATGTTTATGTACAGTCAAGTGCGAAAGTGCTTTTTAAAATAAAATATTTTTTTCAAACTAAATTCAGACGCATTGTGACATCGTCGTTAAACTATTATTATTATTAGTTTAGTATTCTATTTAAATAATTTTAGTATATTTTATTTAATATAACTTTTTTCTAATTATGTAAATCTAAATCTAAGATTCAATAAGCTTTTGCACTCGTCTTTACTATTATATTGCCACCATTATTTTAATAATTAATTTACTATGTTTTATACCATTACTATCTTATTTTGAACATGGTTTCGGTTGGGATTGGTTTAAGTGTTCCTTTTTTACCTTACTTATATATATTTTTTGTATTATCACTGAACTTTAACATAATGTATTTTAAATTATATTTTGAAAATGAACCATAGTTTTCACATTACAGTTTTGGATCGCCCGCCTTCACAAATGAGTTACTTGGACCAATTTCTCAAAGACGCCCCGACGGAAAGGCATTACGACAATGTCGTCTCCATGAACAACGAGCAAAAGGTTAGTTTTTATTTCACTTAACCATGTCATTAACAATTGTCAAGGATAACTAAATTAAAAATAGCTTTGGCATAAATTCTAAATTCATCATGCATATTGTGACTAATATTCTTAAAATATTTGTGGCCTTACAAGCGTTGATCACTTACTTAATTTGGGTACTAATCATATCTATACCTGTCTCTTTCTACTGTCATTTAGTGAAAAGAGCGAAAACAACTGAGTATTTCTTAAATTAGGTCGATGATTATGAGTATGGCTGTTAATGTTTTAATATCCTTTTTTGTCTATAAGACAAACCCTTTCTATTATGTATGTGATGTAAGAAAATATTTATATTTTATAGTAAAAAAAAATTGAAATGCACGAACATAATTCTGGATTGTACGAATAATAAATTTTCTTGGGATAAAAAAGAATTTATAGGTGTTATTTAACATTTTAATAAACTTTCTCTTTGTTAAAACCATAGAATACTATAATACACAATAGAATGGCTTTCAACCTTATTTTGTACGAGGGTCAGCGTCGCCGGAGGCACACATATAAGCAATTACGTCGTGTTATCACTACTACAAACCCGATTCGCTGTGTTGTCAGACTGAATAAATTTAAACATTTTAGACTTTTGATTAATGTTCAAGATCATCATTAAAAATCGTTTTAATACATATTTATATGTAAATAGTGTGCAATTTGGCATTTTCTAAATAATTTGCATACGAAATTTGGAAATGATTGTAACGTCAAAACACATCTCGTTTGACAGTTAGTTATACGTGTGAATTGACGTGTTAGTGACATATTAGTGGATACGCGGGCTACGCCTACTCGCCCGTTCTATTATGTATGCATTATAGTATTCTATGGTTAAAACTAACTGAATATTTAGTGTAAAGCTGATGAATAAATGGGGGAAAATCTTTGTCGGTCTCGTTTTTATGTGATATCTTTGTATTCATTTTAAATCACTCCTTTATTATTGTTTTTTTTTCTTCATATTTATAACATTTATTTTAATTTTTTTTTGGGGGGATAATTTGTTAATTTTTAAATGATATTAATATTTTATACTACACCAAATCTAAGAAATACCTTTTGACATTTCACATCTATCATTCCGCAATAAATTGGCACTCACACGATTTAATATAAGCATTTACGAAAATCCGAAGGATTGTGAAGTTATATATGCATTTCATTACAACATGCATAGTTGTGTGCCAATATATGCGAAATAATTATTTAGAGACATGAATGCAAAGAATAATATTTTTAGAAATTAAAAAAATATCAATTTTGACAACATTATATTCATATAATGATTTCTTAAATTTAAGTAATTTATATATTTATATAAATTAAAGTGATTAAACGCGATAAAATCCGTAAATAATAGTTTTATTCAATAACATTATATTCATTTATGAAACATAGCTAAACGCTAACTACACTGTGCAACAAACATGCACAGATGGCTCGTGACCGTGGTAAAAGGCGGGCGTCTCATAAATTGCTAAGTGCGCCGGAGAAGGAGAATTTGTAGAAAATACAACAACTACACAAGTGATGATAGGCCCTAAGTGATTGAGAAAACAAAGAAAATTGTTATGGACGACTTGGAAAGAGACATTCATTTTGAATGCATTAAAGAAACTCAAGTAATAATTAATGTAAACAACGACGATAACAGCGACAGTTTCTCTACACTCACCATACAATACACAGCAGCATTAAGTCACAGCTGTCAAAAGGTATTTCTTAGATTTTGTGGAGTATAACTTACGAAGCAACCTGTCAATTTCTTGCTAATACTTTTTGTTATAATTTTTTATGTTTTTCATTTTATTTATGTCGCTTACCCCCGCACAGATGTCGCTGCAATACCGTTACAGAAATGCTCAGCATTGTTGCAATGCAAAGGTATTTTTTTTGTTTTATCTTTTGGATAACCCAAAGCTTTTTTCATTTATAATTTTTCCGCTGGTGTTGGTTGTTTATTTAAATTTTATTTTTTTGGAGTGATTAATATTAGAGTTACGTCGTAATTCTCATCTTCCCCTTAAATATTTTTAAGTTTATGAAAAAGATTTATTATATCTTTAGTTTATATATTCGTTATTTCTTTTTTTAAATTTATTACAGCCTATCAAAAACCCACTGCTAAATACAGAGCCTCTCTTATAAATTGTCCCGTAGGGATATAAGAGGTAAAGAATTCTTTTTCGCCGTAGCTCCGTAAAAGAAGTACATAATTTAAATTTTGAGAATATACCTTTCACTTTTTAATTTTTAGTAATACATACTGTATACGAAACAGTAGTTAAAAAAAAAAACTTACTTTTCCAGTTACTGTATGGATCACAGCAATCGACAGCATTGAGTGGATCCGCAGAGTCGCCCGATGAAATGGAACAGAGGGCTGCTTCGCCCGCCTCAAGCAAGAGTTCCCCCAGTGAAATGTCCACGGTGAATAGTCTACTATAGTTTTTAGATTTGCGAGCAATCTGAGTTCATTCCATGCGTGCATCAGTGTAATTCTGAAACGCAATTTTAAGTGTTAACACATGCTCTATTATGAAGGAAAAGTCTCGAGGAACCTGCATTTTTGAGAAATTAACACTTGCCTTGGACATTTGAATAAGTAAAGGCCAATTCGAACTAGGGCAGGCCGTTTCACGACGAGGCTCGTGCCCAGCTGATAGCTTTAACGGCTTTATATCGGCCTTTTCCACCGAAACATCTAGTGTTCCAGCAAAAACCGGTCCCGACCGACTAGATGTAGAAAAATTTAGAGTGTGGACTTTTCTAGAAAGCTTAATTCTTCTATTTGATACTAGATGGCGCTGTTGGTGGGACATTCAGGCATGGCATTTTCTAGAAAGCTCTCCTCGCTCTGCTTCCCGACACTAGATGGCGGTAGGGGCATCAATTATGGCTTGCAACAATATATATTGGCCATTTCTTATTTACTGTGTTATTTATTGTATTATCTACTCTGTCGAAAACGAGTACAGCAATTAGAAAGTGCCTTCGCCTATAACAGTTGTAGCGCCATATAATTTAAATCTTTGTTTACTTTCATATATTATTTTTGAGACTAAAACATCCATGAATTACACTAATTTAAGGCTGAATTCAGGAATTCTTGCATACTGCTGCTTTGTGGGTAAAGAACTGGTAACTTTTTCACAGGATCCCTCGATAGGACCAGGAGGCAAACAAAAGGTTCACCAGTTCCTAGTCCGTACATTCAGCAGTCCCACCAAGTGTAATCACTGCACTTCACTTATGGTAAGTGTGACGTGGCAGGGCGTGGTTTGCGAGACGTGCGGGCTGGACGTGCACACATAGAGACAGTAAACACACACACACACATGTACATACATAGGTAGATAGATTACAGAGCGTGCGTGCATGCGCAGATCGGGCTGACGCGACAGGGCGTATGTGCAACACACACCACAGACGCCACTGCGAGACGTGCGGGCTGGCCGTGCACACATAGAGACAGTAAACACACACACACACACACACACACATGTACATACTTAGGCTGAGATCTATAAACCGTACTTTGACTTTGCTCAGACTCTACTTTCGAGCTAAGACAATGTCGGTATTTATAGAACTAACTTCGAAGTCGTGCTGAGTGCGCGCTAAGCAAAGCCTGAGTCAACCAAATTGACGACTTAAGAAAAACTCAGGATATTACCCTAACAAAAGTAATGGTCCAAAATTATTTTACATTACGTACAACTGATAACTCTTTAACTTTGTCGTATTCTCTCAACTGCAATGATGCCAGGTTGGAGAGAACTTCATGCAATTAAGGAAATCGTAAAACTTTCACGTAAAAATTTAACATTAATGCTGTTATCATTTCTGTAAAAACCAAAAAAATTGATGACATATTTTTTATATATATATATATTAAAATTATTTTGAAGGTTATGTGCTTTTTTACTTCGATAAAAATGTATTTTAAAAATGAATCCAAAGGAAAAATTAGAATTGTCTATGGTAACACTAAAGTCATTCACGCACCAATCACCAATCACCTAAAAACTTTGGTTTATTCTATTCTACGCCAGTTGCTGTTTCGAATTAAATTACCTTTTTAAAAAATAGAACGATACTTCCCTATCCCTATTTTCAACCCGGCTTGTTTAACTGACTCTGTACCTTCTTTTACGACTGACCACGGCTACCTGTTTAACGGATTTTGTACCTGCTACACGACTGACTCACGGCTAATCTTTTACGGACTCCCAAGCACTAAACTATTAAAATGGAAAGCGCAAAAAGGAAACAAAAGCCTTACTCGGAGTACGACAAACAATTGCTGATACAACTGGTTCAAGCCCAAATCAATGTTATAGAGAACAGAAAGACGGACGGTATTTCTCTTAGAAAAAAAAGTGAAGCTTGGGAGGAAATTACTTCGCAGTTCAACAATTCAAACGTCACACAAATTGTAAGTAAAAGTACCTAAATAATTTAATTTTTGAAATGTTTTTAGTTTTTTTCATACAAGTAGTTTTAATTATTTGGCGTAATTTTCGTGTTAGTCCGAGTCTCATATTGATACTATACGAACGTACAGAGGCACACAAATAAGTTTAATTATAAATTCTTCCTACAGATACATTAAATACTTACCTATAATAGTTTAGAGTTGTGCCACATGTAATATTGACATTTTACTCCATTTATAATACTTGTCTACTATTCATTTTCAGGCTGATACTAAACAAATAAAAAAGATGTGGCAAAATTTAAAAACCAAAGCCAGGGATGCCAAGACTCTGGAGGCCCAAAGGAAGAGAACAGGCGGAGGACCAACTCCACCAGATATGGGACCTTTGGAGTCTCAAGTTATAGCTGTCATGCCAAATGTTTTGCCATCCATCAGTGTAGAAATTGACAGTGACACATTAGCTATTGGTAAGTTAATCATGATAAAAATGTGTTATCATATTATATCATATAATTTTAAATTACTATAAATTTAATTAGCTTTTGCCTGTGACATTAGTGCCAATTTGGGTTTATTAGAAATCTTGTAGGTACACTGTTCAACTTGAATTAACTGCCATTATTAACACTGTTTAAATTAAAATAATAAAAAAAAAATAACCAAGATCACTCCTTGCAAAATTCTCTACGGCCAAAATTGGTTCAGGCATTTTGAAGATATTCCATGAAGACTAGTAGATCACTTTTAACTTTTAAAAGAATATGCCTATTGCTTTATCTGCCACACATACCTACTGTATAGTTTTCCCAGTTTTTGTAAATAAAACTAACAAATGGATAGGATTTTATAATACATAATTGCATCAAATATGTATTTCTATTAAATAATTAACTCATAAGTCATATAAATAATTTTTATTTACCATTTAGCACTATTAATTTGAATGATTTAACATCTTAAATATAATTATAGTACATGGTGACTTAAAACCACATTAAGTCATACTCATGCAGGACTTAACTAGCCGATTATTGTATTTATGTTTAACTTAAGTCACACATAAAATTAATATTATTTTACAATAAAAAATATTTATTTTTATATATATATTTTTAACTTGAACTGTATTTTTAAAGTATAATTATTAAAAACACAATTACTATTACTACCATTTACTGTCACATTACAATTGCTAAAGAATATAGCAGCATATAAGCCAACATCTACATCATACAAAACTTCTGTAATTCAAGTCTTGTTGCACTTTTGGCCCTGTTAAATTAAATCTTTAGATTGATGTTGTAATTCTTATATTGAAAGTTTTATTTACTATCAAATCTTCATTCCGACATGATGTTGATATTTTAGATTTAAAATTTTTGTTTGTTGATTGTTGAACATTTTTGATTGATTTCAAATGTTTTTATTGAATTTGAGCAAATGAACATTGATTGGTAGATGATATAGATGGAGTTAGAATGGATGCTACTATATATTCTTGATTAGTTTTTACATTTAGAGAAAGAATAAGAAAGAGACATCACTACTGCTTTGCTTGTTCTAACAAGCTTTTTTGTCTGTATAATCATTTAGTATTCTATAATTTTACAACTAAAATAGTGGATTTAACTCACATGTAATATAGGTAAAATAATTTATGATACATGGAGCTTAAATAACTGATTATAAATGTACAATTGAGAGCTCAATAATGAATAGTATTTATTTAATCAGTAAGATGACATAATTTGTACTTGTAATTTCACTTATTAGATTGTATTTCTATTTCTAGATAATACTCTTGGATTAGATAACGACGAGCAAATGTGGCTCCCAAAGAGAGCTCGTGTGTCTGATGTGGAGCATAATAATAATATAGAGATTGAAGTAATAGAAGACATACAAAAAGAAAACCCTATGCCAATTACCATTGGTGAGCCCAGCACCATCCGGTCAGCTCAGTACAGTGACCCAAAAAAACAAGCAAAACAGAAGAAAACTTTTGATGAACTAAAACAGGAACTAATACTACAAGAATTAAAATATAATAAGGAGAGATATGAGGATGAAAGGAGACGGAATGAAGAAAAATATTTAAAGGAAACTGAATTTTTAGAAAAAAAAATGTGCTTTAGAATTAGAAATTTTAGAAATAAAGAAAGAAAAAGAAAACATTTTAAAAAATAAAGCGATAAATGAATAAAATATGTTTTGTTTTACTTAAGTTTATTTCCTAATTATTTAGTTAAATTGTACTATTATAGACTGCCGAAATGCTAGACCTGCAGTGGATGATGTTTCATTGTTTGGTCTTTCTGCAACTTCTGGTGTATGATCATTGTTACCATCATCATAAGCATCCCCACACTGTATGCCTATGTTGTGCAATACTGCACAAGCTACAATTATGTTGCTCGTATTAGTGAGCTTAGAGCGTAGGCCCAACTGTAAGCAGGGAAATTTCTTTTTCCATACTCCAAAAAACCTCTCAACTATATTACGGGTTCTTATTTGAACATAATTGTATTGGTTTTCTGCTCTTATTACTGGAGTTATAAGAGGTGTTAAAAGGAAAGGAAGAGATGGATAACCACTGTCGCCTACTAAAACTCCTTGCAAATTCCCCCCTTAAGAATCTAGCATAAGCTTGAGAGTTTCTAAATATTCTACTATCATGTGAACTGCCAGGCCAGCGGGTTACTATATCAAAAATTTCCATATTTGGACCTATAATAGCTTGTACATTAATAGAGAAATATCCTTTGCGGTTTCGGTATATTTCAGAATGGGAGATACATCTGGGTCTATTTATTTTAATATGTGTGCAGTCAATAGCACCAATAATGTTGTTGAATCCGCGCTGAGTATTGGATCTTCCGAGTTCTTCGAATTTTCTTTTTACCACACTCATATTGGTGGGAAAATGTATATATCTTGGTAATAAACGGCTCAATTGTCTTGATACCTTATTTATTATAAGACATACTGTGGATTGGCTTATGCCGTTCAAATCACCACACACCATCTGAAATATCAAAGAATATATGTATTACTTATTGTGTATAAAATATATTTTCTATGTATATAACCAGTAGTAGATTCTGACTAATAAAAGCCTATTTGAATAAAAAATTCATTCTACTCTATGAAACAATAATTACCTGGAAACATCCTGTAGCATAAAACCTTAATGCAATAAGTAATTGCAGTTTTGGAGAAATCGGCAAGCCTCTATTGTCCAAATGCTCCAAATTGGCAATTATTAAAGGTAATATTACATTTAAAACAGTGTTTTTATTGAATCGGTATCTTCTTCTAAATTCATTTTCGTCATACAAATCAAATGGGTTTTGGTTATATGCATTTCGAACATAGTATTTAGGCATGCGCCGAAAATTGATATCTGCTGAAGTTCCCAATCTATCTATATTTCCTAAAGTAGATAGAATTCTCTCAATATTGTCCATTATAATTACAAGCTTGGTTTAAAGAAAATCGAAAAGATTCTCGATTCGAATGTCGAGTCCAAATTACTGAAGCGTAGGTCGAATAGGTAGGTAGGATCGGGAGTCCAAGTTTAAAAGCCAGTCGTAACAAAAAGATCAGGAATTTCAAATATATATAAAACCTAAAATGCACAAAATATAATCAATATCAATATAAACCAAAAGCTTCTCAGTTGTAACTGTGATTTGACAGCGCGTGTGACAGCAAATCAAACGTTCCGCTTCCTTCTCATATTTTCAAACTAAAATTAATTAAATGTACTTGTATCTCTCTTTAAACACGCTCTTTTTCAATTTCATGTATTAGTAACATATTTATGAAGTGCAATTTGGACTGTTTTTGACCTTTAAATATATATTTTATTTTACTTTGTACAGTAAAATCAATAACATAATGCGTGGAATGAAGCATGCGTAAACTTCTTGACAGTCTGAACCTTAGCATATGCTTAGCTTAATCTCAGCCCGATACAACTATAAATTCGGAATCAAAGATTATGCTAAGCATATACTCGGCTAAGATTTTCCTAAGCCAAGTCTGAGCAAAGTCAAAGTACGGTTTATAGATCTCAGCATTAGAGTAACAATACCTAGTATAGAGCGCGCATATTGCACAAATTGATTAGAACACGTCATAGGCAGTTGAGCTATAGGTACTTATATTGATGAGTGTATGACAGATAGGGATGTAACAGTTACGTGCCGATCGTCAACGAGATATCGATAAGTGATATAAATAAATATCTTTCTTAGCCTGTAATTTTTATGTTTAATATGTTATTTCCTATTTCTATTATACGAATAATGTTTGTGTATGTATTTATATATTAGTTTGTAATTATGAATCAATTGTGTAATTGAAATGTCAGAAAGTCATGTGGACTTGTTATAAAGGTTCAAAAAATAAAAGATCGGGTTTAGTGTTTATTTTTTATTAGTAAATCAAGTACCTATGATATGTCATTTACGTGAACTTCATAGAATTTTTGTTGATTAGTTATAGTTCTTTTTACTGACCATTAAAAAGCGTAAGCTTGTTATAAAGCTGTCTTTTAGTCTTTTGACATTTGATTTTCGTATCAAATATTTGACGCGTATATCAATATATTTTTGAATTACAGCTGTAAGCAAATGCAGTAAATGGTTGCTACAAGGTTCTTGTTCAAATAAATGAGCATGAAGAACATTAAATATATGTGTTCCAATGAACAACTTCAGCGTTTTAGTAACCATGCTTCGAGGATCACGATCAGGTCCGTTTTTCGATTCTATATTACTTTTTACAATTTTTTCAGCGGCATTACATAAATGAATCACGTCCTCAGACGGATATATAAGACCTCCCCTATCTTTAAATAATATGAAAGATTTATAATGAGAAGGTGTCTTTGCTACTAAAGCCGATAAACAGTCAGTGCACTCTATTTTAGATAGTAAATACCTTGTTACATATCCAGCAATATAGTAGATGACGTGCTGTAAAACAAAAGAATGTTCAAGCGCAGGTAAATTCAAATCATCATCCACAAAATTACTCATAAATTGTTCTTCAACCATAGCATCATCCTCTTGTGCAGCTGACCTGTGTCCTTTACTCGTTAGGTTGATGTGATCAACGGATGAAGAACAGGTTAGTAGAGTAATTTGTTCCAGGGACGCACAGTTTCCGGTAAAGTTTTCATTAAGCTCCATATACATCAAAAGCTTCTTGTAGATAGCTCTGAACTGAGAGGCCGACGGATTGTTATTGAAGCCACCGTGAGATCGTATCACTGAAAAAAGGATCTCCAGATGATCTTGGCTTATTTTGTACATTGCAATTGAATCCATTTCATTTTCTTGTTTGACCAGTCTGTAATACAATTCTTACATGCTCTCAATGCACACACAAAGTCCAAGAAATCCAATTTTGTTTCTTGAATGTACAATCTGTTGATTTTCATTTGGAAATGCTAATGTTTTTAAGTAGGTTTTGGCATTTTCCAGAAACTTTATATATTTAGCCTCATTTTTTTTATAATGGGAGTTTTGAAGTCAATTCCGAGAAACTTCAGTGAATTTAGAATATCGAACAGATTATTTACCATATAAGTAAAATTTACTGTTACGGCGGAGTTGGCAAAATTTAACAAATGCAGCTTTTGATCACAAAATTGTATAGCTTTTGCCACACTAGCGCTTAATAATTGCACTGCTAGTTTTACCTTCATGACTTGATTTTTAAAATCAATATGTCTTATTGTTAATTTTAATTTTAGCGAGGTGACATTTTTCATTTTGCTGCAAGGTGTTAAGCTCAACAAAATATTGCCATTTAATAAGGCCTCCATTGTTATCTTGAAAAACCTTTTTACTTTCTAATGTATTTCTGATAAGTTTGATCATGTGGCATGGATCAAGAAATACATAGATAGGCTGTTCCGTCTCAGGGTGCGGAAAATGGGTTTTCAACTGTCCTAGATCGAATGAACAGCCGAGTTCGCGAGCCATAGCAATGTTTGCCGGACAACCGTCGAATGTCATCGATACAACTTCTATGCCAACCTCGTGGCAATTCGAAAGGCACATTCGTACTAAATTTGCCCTTTGCTCTCCTGTAACGCCATTCACCAAAAAATATCCCACGGGCATTTTCCATTGTCCGTTCACCGCAACTAAAAGAAATCCAGGGCTTGTGTACACAATACGGCTGTATCTCCGGGCACGTCGATTCCTGCTCCAAAGTTCACATAACCTTGCACTTTGTTGCCATCAAACTCTTTGAGTTTACGTATGGACATTTCATCAGTAACTAAGTTACATAAAATTTTATTTTCGGTCGCCTTTACCTTTTCGCGAAGAGCATTGAATGCTTCGGCAGTGAAACCTGCACTCGCATCGAGGCATTGGTACCATTTTCGAATTGTACTCGGATGTGGCAGACATGTGTTAAATGTACTCCTTATGTAAGAGTAGGCCTTCGAAGAATAAAAGTGGAGTGTTAGCGCAAATGTGCGGAGCTCTGGTGAATATTTCTTGCCTTCACCCCCGTGATGCATGATTTGTTTTCATAAAAATAAGTATAAAAATTGACTTACCGATGAAATGTGATGAGATTTCAGTTTCGTGTGTTTCCTAGTATCGTTGTTGCACGATCGAACTGCACATTTCACCATTTTGATTCGCAAATTTTAAAAAAATCTGGAGAAACGCACACTGCTAGCACTCAACCACGACTACAAGCGCTCGCGGCGGGAACGTCGTGTTGTTCTCACCCGTGCCTACTGTTCCCACTTCGTTGCGCGCACTCTATACTACTGTTACTCTAAATGTACATACATAGGTAGATAGATGACGAGCGTGCTTGCGTGCGCAGATCGGGCTGACGCGGCAGGGCGTGGTGTGCGAGACGTGCGGGCTGGCCGTGCACACATAGAGACAGTAAACACACACACACACACACATGTACATACATAGGTAGATAGATGAAAGAGCGTGCGTGCATGCGCAGATCGGGCTGACGCGGCAGGGCGTGGTGTGCGAGGCGTGCGGGCTGGCCGTGCACACATAGAGACAGTAAACACACACACAACCCACACTCACACATGTACATACATAGGTAGATAGATGACAGAGCGTGCGTGCATGCGCAGATCGGGCTGACGCGGCAGGGCGTGGTGTGCGAGACGTGCGGGCTGGCCGTGCACACATAGAGACAGTAAACACACACACACACACACACACATGTACATACATAGGTAGATAGATGACAGAGCGTGCGTGCATGCGCAGATCGGGCTGACGCGGCAGGGCGTGGTGGGCGAGACGTGCGGGCTGGCCGTGCACACATAGAGACAGCAAAAAACACACACACACACACACACACACACACACATGTACGTACATAGGTAGATAGATGACAGAGCGTGCTTGCGTGCGCAGATCGGGCTGACGCGGCAGGGCGTGGTGTGCGAGACGTGCGGGCTGGCCGTGCACACATAGAGACAGTAGACGACACACACACACACATGTACATACATAGGTAGATAGATGACAGAGCGTGCGTGTGCGTGCGCAGATCGGGCTGACGCGGCAGGGTGTGGTGTGCGAGACGTGCGGGCTGGCCGTGCACACATAGACAGTAGTCAAACACACATGTACCTACATAGGTAGATAGTGACAGAGCATGCGCGCGTGCGCAGATCGGGCTGACGCGGCAGGGCGTGGTGTGCGAGACGTGCGGGCTGGCCGTGCACACGTAGAGGCAGTAGACACACACACACACACACACATGTACCTACATAGGAAGATAGTGACAGAGCATGCGTGCGTGCGCAGATCGGGCTGACGCGGCAGAGCGTGGTGTACGAGACGTGCGGGCTGGCCGTGCACACGTAGAGGCAGTAGACACACACACACACACACACACACACACACACACACACACACACACACACACCATGTTCCTACATAGGAAGATAGTGACAGAGCATGCGTGCGTGCGCAGATCGGGCTGACGTGGCAGGGCGTTGTGTGCGAGACGTGCGGGCTGGCTGTGCACACGTAGAGGCAGTAGATACACACACACACACACACACACACACACACACATGTACCTACATAGGAAGATAGTGACAGAGCATGAGTGCGTGCGCAGATCGGGCTGACGTGGCAGGGCGTGGTGTGCGAGACGTGCGGGCTGGCCGTGCACACGTAGAGGCAGTAGATACACACACACACACACACATGTACTTACATAGGTACATAGTGACAGAGCATGCGTGCGTGCGCAGATCGGACTGACGCGGCAGGGTGTGGTGTGCGAGACGTGCGGGCTGGCCGTGCACACGTAGAAGCAGTAGACACACACACACACACACACACACACACACACACACACACACACACACACATGTACCTACATAGGAAGATAGTGACAGAGCATGCGTGCGTGCGCAGATCGGGCTGACGCGGCAGGGTGTGGTGTGCGAGACGTGCGGGCTGGCCGTGCACACGTAGAGGCAGTAAACACACACACACACACACACACACACACACACACACACACACACACACACATGTACCTACATAGGAAGATAGTGACAGAGCATGCGTACGTGCGCAGATCGGGCTGACGCGGCAGGGTGTGGTGTGCGAGACGTGCGGGCTGGCCGTGCACACGCGGTGCTGCTCACGCGTGGCGCCGCGCTGCCCGTTACCGCCGGAGCGCTGCCGCCGCCCGCTTGGCATCGACCCGGCGCGCGGGCAGGGCACCGCCTACGAGGGCTATGTCAAGGTGCGCCTCACAAACTCCCCACCTCAAACTGCGTCGTTCCGCCTTCACCCGTCTCCATCCGCATCCATCCGGTTTGAAGGACCAATTTATCTTCACGCCAAAATAGAGTATAGAAATTACCTTTACTTTGTCTTTAAATCAATGCATGTAATGTTTTCAGTTTGGACATTTCAGTTCGAAGGACCAACTTACTGTGTAATAATAATATAATATTATAATAATAATCAGTGTTCAAACAATGTGTTATTTTGATTAAAACTACTTTTACGGATTTTATCGCATTTAATTTTAATTGGTTTTTAATTCCCGACGTTTCGGGTGCTTTCCAGCACCCTTGGTCACGGGGGACTGAGGTGACTAACGTCCCGATGTCGGTGTTAACCCGGAGTACCTTCAGCTTTTTAATTATTGTTTATGGTCCGATCTATGCAGAATGAACTTACTCTGTCTTGAAGTCTTGCAGTGGTATGCTTGGGTTTAGTTTTAATTTTGTTAATTACGGGGTCCCAAGCAGGTGGTAGTACCCAGCCTCCTTCTCTATTGAAATTATGATGTTTTTTTAATTTCAATAGCCTCAGGTATCATCCTTGGTAGGAATCGATGTTCTTTCTAGAGGATTTGTGGTCTATCAAATCTGATGTAATGGTTGGGGCCGCCTAAGATATGATCACAAACTGCAGACTTCCCTACCAAGATAATCGATTCCTTAAATAGGTACCATAAATTGCTGCAAAGTAAAAGTAAAATTGAATAATAATTCAATGGAAGTCAGCAACATTGCTTTTATATCCAGTTATAAGATTTTTAAAAATGCATGGCATAAACTACTGCATAGTAAATTAAAATGCACGTAATCAACAGCAGATTCTAAATTATTTCAATCAATAATATTTTTAAAGAGTCACTTGCAATCAACTACCACGTCTGTAAGTAAGATTACTCCTTTTAATATCGAAATATATCTTTTATCAGGTTCCGAAACCAGGAGGCGTGAAGAAAGGTTGGATGCGACAGTTTGTGGTTGTTTGCGACTTTAAGCTATTTTTATACGACATTTCACAAGATCGGTAAGAAATTAAGACAATACACAAAAACTGAAGTTAAAATTATCTAACACATTACAGCTGACACTTTGTATATATTACTTCTGTTTAGGGTTTGATATATTAATCAAAAAGTATTTTTTATCGCATATAAAATGTTAAACCAATTTCTAGGAACGCTCTACCATCAGTATGTGTTAGTCAAGTATTGGACATGCGGGATCCAGAGTTCAGTGTGACCTCGGTTAAAGAGTCTGATGTAATACACGCCAGCAAGCGTGACATACCTTGTATATTTAGGGTGAGTGTATTTTTTATAACATTGGGTGCGCGAAAGTGACGAAAGGTATGGCGGGGCGAACAATCAACAGTGGACTGTATTAGCGTGGTTTAAAAAGAACCAAAACAAAATGACTGACGTGGCACGTGGCGGACTCTAAACGATATACTTGCTTACTTGCTTACTTATGAAATTTATTTTATGAGTTGTTGTGGAAATGAGCTGCTGCGGAAAAGGAACAACAAATAAAACGGCTCAAAATTAAGGACAGGCATTGACCTGGGGAACTGGCGAGCGGCCTCTTTCTACGGCCATGCGGGCACGATGATAATTGCGAACTATTGCGGATATTTGTATGATGTGCCAGTGGCGGCGCGCGTCTTCTTCTTATAGTTTCTACCGTCTCCCCTTTCACCTTAGCGAAGCGTGACTCTCATTGGAGGACCAAAGATGCATCCACCAGCATCTAGCTCCCCCCATTAGGCAGGCCCGTGCGGGGAAGGAACGGAAGAGAGGAATTATGTCAACTAACCCAACTAACGAAATACATAAATACATCAACGAATACGAAATGCAAGGGTGTGCGTTGGCGCAACCAAACATTTTATCATTATGTTTAAAATATTATTTAAAAAAAAATGGATGAAAAACTGTAAAAATCAGCTTCTAGGTTATTAAGTTTTCTCGTATATGCTATATCGCTTGTCAAGTGTGGCTAATTCTTTCAAATTATGAATAACAATTTTACAGACTTACAGGTTAATGACAAAAGGATCGTTAAAACAGTTCACTTTTTTTCTATGGGATTAATAATTTTCATAATCAAAATCAGGCTCGAAGGACCATTGTCCCTTTAAAAATTTTCTGTCTTTGTAGTTTCTCTTCACACCACATTTAAATTAATTTAAGCGGCATAATCGAAAAAAATTAAATTTTACAGATATCAACGTCACAATTAGAAGGCGGTAAACGATACCATACCCTAATGCTAGCAGAGTCTGAATCCGAGAAAACAAAGTGGGTAGTGGCGCTCAGCGAACTCCATAGGATATTGAAGAGAAACAACTTACCTGACAAATGTGTAAGTATTTAAATTTCTATCTTCCTAATACAATGAAAACGAAATGCATTTAATCAATACTTTCTAATACACCTAATATTTTACCTTTTAACATGAAGCGCACTTGATGAACATAGAGCGTTAGAAATTAAGTTTTTCTGTATTTGCTATATAGTTAACAGATATCTAAAAACAGCTAAATTAGTATACTTTGCGTATTTTCGTAGTGTTTTTTCGAAACCATATTTACAAAAGCAATAAATGAGAGATGTAAAGAGATTTGAAAAAGCAAAAAACACCAATAAATATTATTAAATAACTGAAATATTTCGGAATTGAGTGAGTGAATTTTGAGAATCATAGAAAATCATGCTTCGAATGACGAACTTCAACTTGGGGTAAAACAATTGACACGCGATTTCCCGCCAGAATATATTTTAATCTTCTTTTTTCTTGTATAATGAGTCGTTCGCATTAATATTTCGCATGCTTTGAGATTTAATACACAAAATCGCATCAATTACGTATCAAAACTCACTTCCAACCATTATTCAAACTATAAAATAGGAGCATCAATCCACCAGCGGTGAAGTTACGGCCAAAACTCCTTTAATCAATTTATGAGCTTTTTCATGTTTTTAAAAATACAGGTTGTCCGGTAATTAATGGATAACCCTGCATGTACTAGTGGCACATCGGCCACTCATAAAAAAACATTTATCTGCAGAATTCTTTTAAAACGTCTAGTCACAAGGGCAGTCGTTACTTGAATAACTGAAGGTCTGAAGATGTGACGAACCCGCTCTTCTTGAGTACTGATCCTCATTAGTGTGGAAAAATAACGACTATGTGATTTACTAACTATAATTTTTCCAGGCTACTGCAGAGATATATATATCTTTTTTCTCAGTGGCCTAGGTGTCCCACACTAGTACCCGCGGAGTTATCCATTACTTACCACCTGTATAACATTCTAAATTCAAACATTTATGAGCGGTCAGGAGCGTAGAACTTTGAGTTTTGCGTGTGTGTAGGTGTATTCGGCGTGCGTGATCGCGGACGCGAGTGCGGCGCTGATTCGTGGCGCGACGTGCGCGTGCGTCCTGGAGCGGTCACGGCTGTGCGTGGGCGGCGAGCTGGGCCTCGCGCTGCTGGACCTGGAGCGTGCCGAGCTGGTGCCGCGCCGCGCGCACGCGCCCGTAGCACGCATTCGCTACGTGCCGCACGAGCAGCTACTGGGTGAGTGTGAGTGTGCACATGCAGCGAGCTAGGCCTCGTGCTACTGGACCTGGAGCGTGCCGAGCTGTGGTGCCACGCCGCGCGCACGCGCCCGTAGCACGCATGCGCTGCGTGCCGCACAAGCAGCTGCTGGGTGAGTGTGAGTGTGGGTGTGCACCTGCAGTGAGCTGAGCCTCCCGCTGCTGGACCTGGAACGTGCCGAGTTTATAATTTAACAAAAAAAAATTGTCTAAAAATTCCGATCACAGTGTAATAAAATTTCGATCCCCACTAACACTAAAATAACTGCCTGTGCCGAAACGTATATTTGATTGACTATATTAGCTGGCAATATCCTTCCCTCTTACTTCCGATACCGTCCTGCACGGGCACGGCCAATGAGGGGCTAGATTGGTGGCGTCATTTTTTTTGGTCCAGTGGGACACGCGCTGGTAAAAGTGAAAAGCCGGTACCGCGCCGCCGGCGGTCCAGAGTCATCGACGTGCGCCGCCGCTGCTCTACCAGTCGGATCGCGATCCTTGGCTGTGACAGCACTCTGTGGCTGTCGAGCCACAGAACAGTACAAACTTTCGTAGTGACCCCTAGCACAAGTACATTTATCGTCGTGCACTAGTGCAAACAATTTGTCGAAGGTGTTCAATAATTAACACCCAGTACAATTTGGTCCTGTTCGCTAGCCGGGAGCCGGGACGGGTCGCAGTCATTATCGTGTCCGCATGAGCGCCAGAGAGGCCGTTTGCAGACACCCCAGGTAAGCCCGTTCCTATCTTGAGCTGTTTTAATTTGTTGTTCCTTTTTTCCACAGCAGCCCATGTTCCTGCCGTACCGGCTAATATAGAAAATTAAGTTATAGCAAGTACATTGTCCAAAACCCGCCATGTCCACCATTTTGTTTGGGTTATGACGAACCACGCTAAATACATTCCAATTTAGTCATTCTCGCGCACAAAAATTTCGGGATCATTATTCTTGGAATTAGACCTGGGACCCTGTGGCTCCACTATTTTGTGGTCATTCGGTCCGGATTCGAACCCAGGAACCTATAGCTCCACCAATAAATGTTTGGAAAAATGTCGATGGAATATTGTGATGTCTGTGAATCGAAATGAAGAAATGAGATGTGTGTGCCTGCCGAGCCGTGAGTTGTATGCAGGCTGATACTGTTTCTACTTTCACGCTTATAATTTATTTTTGTTTATACAGACTGGTCCTTTTGTAGTTTTACTTTTATAATGTTTTGTTGCGTACGTGTGCGCAGTGGTGATCGCCGGGCGCGGGCGGCACGTGCGGCTGGTGCCGATCCGCGCGCTGGAGTGCGCCGAGGTGGAGAGCGTCAAGCTGTCTGAGGCCAAGGGCGCCGTGGACCTCGCCGTGGGCGAGCTGCACGCCTCGGCCTACGGGTTCGCCGTCGTTTGCAAACGACAGGTAGTTTTCAAATCATTTTTACTTACAAATTATTTAATCTTGTACCTGCTTTATGTCGAAAACCATAGTACATTGAAATTTGAACTAACTTTTTTTAGTATTATAAGAAAAGTCATTAAATAGCTGTTAAAAGGGCAACGGATTAGTAATTACCGGCACGTCTGGACCATCGTTCAGTTATATTATGAATAAAATTTTAAGTTAGTAAACTATACCCTAATAGTGTATTAGAGTGGTTTTCTTAAAATTTGTACATGGCTATTTTTCTATGTCCCATAACTTCAAATATATTTTATAAACGTTTTATGTGCTTTATAGTAATCTACTGATGTTTATTAGATTCGATGATTATTTTTTTGTAGGTTTTTAGCCTAGAAAGTTATTAAAAATAGGAAAATATTAAAATATACAGAATAGTTAAACGCAAGGTAGCAATTTTTTCCAACAAGAATGATTAATTAATCATTCTTGTTGGGAAAAGACCCAGTATGAATAAGAATCAATTATAAAAAAATATATTAAATATCGTAATAACTTAAATGTGCATAAAGTAACCTTGTACAGTAATGTTTGATAATTACAAAAAAAGCAAAATAAAATTTACATATTTAGTTAGTCTACTTACTCGAAGAATACAAATAATTTGACAATATAATAATACAGTTGTTTCCGATACGCGAGTGTAATCAACCAAGCCTTATGCTACGTCAAACAATAGATGTATCGACTCGACAAGATGCAAACTACGAACGGACATGCGTACATCTCGAAACTTGAGACGGTACTGAATTTTTTACTCGCATGTTCTCTGATAAAAAGCCGTATTACGGGAGGCTTACTGCTTCATACTAAAATGTGTGGGCAGCGGGGAACGAATTCTGCTATAAAATAAATGATTTTTCTTCTTAGATTATCGATTTTTTGGTTTGAATTAGTAAAAAAGTTAATGGTGAATATATTATTTATACTTTCTTTTAACGTTTTCACCAAATATATTTTCTAAAATAATAACGAAATGGCCTAGAAAATTGAAATAGAAAGGCTGTGTTAGATGTTTTTACCATATCTGACGAATTTTGCTCTCGAAAATCAAGATTTTTTTATAAGTATCGCGCGGTGTAAGTGAAGACTCATCTATAGGTCGTGCCAAATCGATTGAGAAAACCGGACGATGACCTCAGATATGAGCCGATTCAAAAGGCGTAACTTACAAAATCTCAATTTAGATGTGATAACAATATTTAAATATTGATATTACTCACACTTCTAGGTCAGCACATATGTTTTGTTTTTTTGTTTCTTAAATAATAATATTTACTTAATATATATTTTATATTTCAATTTATGGTAAGTAACGCAGCAATTCATTTAATAACAGTTTCATATTTAAAAAATATTTGAAGCAATATAATCACCATATTGAGCTTTTGCAAATTCATCCCTTTAAAATAAACAAACCGCGCGTTACGTCAGTTCGTTCTAAAAGAAACGTGACAATGGCAGCCAGAGATGCGTCACTTTTTTTGGGCCGGGCCGGAATAAAAATAAAGTTCTTATATAATATTAAAAATAAAGTTTTATCTTTTGAATAAGTACGTACTTATTCGGTGTCGTTATCACTCGAATCTTTATATGTGTTATAAATTAATGCTTTTTGTTGCTACATGAATAAATTACTTTATAACAATAGATGATTTTTCTTCTACAGCGATCTTTTACATTACTTTTTAATACATATAAAATGTGCCTATATATTAAATTGTAACCACTGGTTAAACGACCGAAAGGCCAATGTCCGTTTTCCTCAATCAATTTGGCACGAACTATATTAACTAATTGAGATTTTTTGTGGTGTTATTTAATGAAGTAAGTTCTTCAATATTTTTAAAATCGTAACTCCCTATTTGCGCGTTTCTTTTTTCTTATTCTTATAGGCCGATAAGTGGAAACGTTTTTTTGTCCCCTGATTTGAGTACTGGAATAACAATTGCTTTTTTTTAAACAATCTGGGAAAATGCCTTCAGAGGGGCGTATTCGGGAAATATGGATTAATGGTGGTACTAGAATTTGTCTAATTTTTTTAAATATACTAATGGATATGCGGTTCCAAAAAACTGCGCTTGTTTCTTTCAGTTCCATCATAATCTTTTCAACCTCAGTAGCGTCTGTATCTGATAGTGTGAACAAGCTTAATTGGCAGTTTCTTTGAGTTGAGAAAGTGGCCCTGTGTTCATTCATGATTATTGTTAGAATTGTTTATCTGCTCAGCAAGATTTTTACCAACGTTCACAAAGTAATTATTTGCTGTATTGCTGATATAAGCGGCGAGGAAATATTTTGTAATCTAATGAAGATTCATGCTGTTTGGATATAAATGCAATATATTTCACATGCCTCCATATATTTTTACTAACTCATAGGGGGGAGTTTTTAAGTTATTATATTTTATAATTTATAATATAATAAATAAGTTATAATATTTTAAGTTATAATATATATGTTTGGCAGGTGGGTTTTGGCAACCGCAATCATTTTATAACTTTGTTATTGTGGTCCTTGGGGAGGCTTATGTTTGTACTTGTGTCGGTGTACTTTTTATATTAGAGTCCACTGCTGAACATAGGCTTTTTTCATAGACTGGTCTGGGGGGGGGGGGTTTTTAAAGACCCTACTGTCTAATCTTCAGTTTTGTTTCTCTCTGTTGACGTATGCGATACCCAGGGGCAATGATAAGGGGTAGTGAATGTTCTTACATTGACATTACGTGGAAAACTTGAGAAGGGCTGTAATGATGGTAGTTATATTTGGTATATGCATTAGGATCGTGGCAATAGTGCACAGTGTGTGACGTGCGGTCGGTGCGTTACGTAACGTACGTGGTGCGGTTACTGTGCAGAGCACGTGGGTGGTGTACGTGTACGAGATCACGCGCACGGCGGCGCGGCGCTGCCGCGTGGCCGAGCTGCGCGCGCCGGGCGCCGTGCTCAGCGTGCAGCTGTCCCGCTCGCGCCTGCTGCTCGGCTACCGCGGCGGCTTCGCGGCGCACGCGCTGCCCGAGCCACGCCGCGCGGGCCAGCACGCCGCGGACCAGCCCGCCATCTGTTAGTACTGCACGGTACTACACACGCACACATACAAACGTGCTTAGCGCTCGCGCCTGCTGTTCGGCTACTAACATCTGTTGGCGCCACACGACACTATCGCAACACTTCACGCACACGGGCGTGAGTGCGCGAGCTTCTCTCACTACATAACTCCGCACACATTCACGCACACGCACAAACACACACAACACCGACCAAACTT